CATTTTAAAGAGCCTGAGGATGTGAACACTGGCAATCTTTTATACCAGCTTCTCAGAAATCTAACATAACCCTTCTAACTTTGCATTTCCTTTCTGGTCTTTTCTTTGAAAAATGGACGATAACCAGATTTGGGCAAAATACACACACACACTTTTCCTTTATTCGCTGTCATTTAATTATTCTTACTGTCGCAATTAATGTTATGATATTCCCTTTCTCCAAAAAGGCTCCTGGTGTATATGTGATTTAAACCCTGTCGCCCGTGATATAGCGGTAGTTTAGTGGCTCAATAGGGAAGGATCCCCCCCCCCCTATTTTTTTTTTTTTAGGGAACAGCGTTCGGCTACTTTTTTCACTTGAACAAGACCATGTCTCAATAATTTGAACATGTTGATTTTTTTATTACATTAGTGTGTAAGTTTGCTGTATTATTGCGTAATTACCGTACATACGGTATATCATCATTAATGTTCATGAAGTTGCATGGTCCACCATTTGCTTTGTAAAACAAATCAATATGCAGAGTTGGCTTTGAAATAACAGATCAAGTGACACTGGAACGTCTTTATCTCAATACAAAAAAGATGTTGAACAACCATGGTAGTACTTATTATAATTGATACAAAACTCTACTGTATGTACAGTACTACAACACACAACAGTATCTGTATCGTATAAAAGATTAAGTGTTGTTTTATGTTTCAATTATACTTTCTTCATACTATAAACATAAGTGCTTGCTTGCTTACACTCTCTGTAACCAACGCTGTATATGCCAATGAAGGAAAGTAGATTCAGTGGTTTTAAGTCACTTAGATACCAATAGTACCAGTGTTAGTATTTTAATATTCATTGTACATAAGATATTACATACTGTACATAAAATTTAACTGAATATAAATGTAATATTTGTATAGTAAAGGTAGTTCTGAAATACATAATAAACAGTATGTACTGTACTCAATAGTTTAAGGTGTAATAATAAAATTAATCAGGCTCTTTACTTTGTAGCCTACATAATATGGAACAATTAAATGGGGTACTGTACAGGGAATGATTTTCTACATGGTCGATTCCTCATGAAGTATTTTATATAGGTCCCCCATTTTTTTCTTTTACTACAGTTTTGCTCGGACTACACCACTGCCTATCGCCTTTCATAATCTAGCTTCACACAGCATTACATCCTTCCCCCAAAACCACACCCTTCAGTAATTTGCAAATCTCCATTAGCTGTATGTCCCGCCCCTCATTTTTCATGCATTATTCATCCCAATCTTTTCATCGTCTTGCTTTTCCCTCCTGCCAACCACTTTTTTTTTCCATCTTTCACTTCCCATTTTATAACCATACTTCATAATAAGCAAACCCCGAGCTGCTCAAACCCTTTTTCCACTTTTACTTATCTTTACATCTATGTTTCTATCTGTATCCATACCTTATTTACCAAACATATTCCTCTGAAGCAAGTCATATCTGTAACTTGTTCCTTCATCTTAAGTCAAAAGTCCATGCTTCATACCCATACAGTACAGTACTGTACAATACTTATCTTCCTCCACTCTTTCTCTAATCAAGCTACTATTCATTTCAACCTATAGCAGGACTCCTCTAGTTTTCACACACACACAAATGAGTGAATTTAAACATCGGTATAGTACAATGGATATTGTGATCATGAAACCATATCAGGTACTGTACATACAAAAATGAAAATTTGTACCCAGAGGACAAATTAACACATATTGTACTGTACCGCAGTAATCTCTGTTAGCTAGAATCTTCAATCCCTGAAACTCTCCAGGAGCTGAAATTTTTTTAGCATTCAGAGAAATTCTTGGAAATCTCTCTCCATTCTGGGAATTCAAACGAATTTCCTAGATTGCATCATGCGTCCAACACAGGGACATGTGTCGGGTACATGGGTAGATACATCATGCGTCCAACACAGGGACATGTGTCGGGTACATGGGTAGATACATCATGCGTCCAACACAGGGACACGTGTCGGGTACATGGGTAGATACATCATGCGTCCAACACAGGGACATGTGTCGGGTACATCATGCGTCCAACACAGGGACATGTGTCGGGTACATGGGTAGATAGTCTCGGTGCTCAAAAGCTACGATTGGCTACAGTATTACCATTCATGGGACTGCATGGGATGCCTATGATTGGCTGATGTATCCCGCAGCCTCTCAAACTCTTGCATCATGACACTCTTAGTTCGTTGTTTGCTGCCATTATACAACCTTGTTCACTCACTCGCCGCTGTTTTTACAAATGAACTGCATCACAAGTTCAAGACGACATCATCTGCTTGGGAGTACAGTATATTCAGTACAGTAGTAGTAGTATATTTTGTTTTTACAATACAGGGTACTGTATATTGTATGTGTACAGTGGTGTTCGCATAAATAAATACAGCTGTGTCTGTCTGACTGCAGTTAAGTCGCTATGTGCAAGATGCATAGTTTAGACTCCGAGAAAACTTTCACCAGTACTGCACCCGGAAAAATTCTGGGTATGTGCAATTATTTCGGGGGATGAGAAAATTCATCTCCATGCCCAGAAATCTCTCAAACCCGGAACCGCTCTGCACCAATTATTCCAACTAAAGGGGAAATTACATTTTATGATATTAACAAGGTTCCACTGACCCAAGCAGCCCATATTAAGCACATGTTATTTTAACAGGTTAGAATAGAAAGTGATAAAAACATTACATCTCGTTTCACAATCCAAACAGTTGAACCATTCAACCTTTTGTAGGGCAGCGGCTCCTGGCTAATGCCAGACAATTTCTTTCAGCTGAGTAAAACCTGTCCTACAAAAGGTTAAAATTAGTAGATGAAGAAATTAATAGTACCGTACCAGTACCACGATCCTTGCCATACTCTATACAAACCCTGGGTGTGGTGGTTTTGGTATGCCTTACCTGATACTATACTGTACTGTACTTTCTTATGTTAGAGAGATGTCAAAAATTTTGTGTTTATACCATTATTCCTTGGATGTTTCATTTCTGCTTCTGCCTTACATTTCATTTGGATTATTGTTGGAGAATGAATTAATTGGCCGCAACACTTATACAGTACAGTACAGTACACCACTTCGGTTTTAATTACGTAATAAGAGCCTAATCCAAATTGAATCCCATGAAGTGAGACCATCATTCATACTTCGATATCCTGTAACTAAAGGAGAATATGCATGGATATTCATAAGAATAAGGCTTAGAATTAAATTGACATAACCAAAGGGTAGAGGAGAAATACTACATGCAGTATTCTCCAATTATTTCAAACAGCACTTTCGTTACACTTTTTTTTCCCATTAATAGATAATGGGAAATGGTAACGGTTCTGTTCAGGTGTCAAACAATCCTTTCCTACCATGTGCCACAAATACATCCCTAATTAATCAACATTAAAATGCTAAAGACCATTGGTTTTAATGCAAATATTAGGCTTAGTATTATTTCGGTTATCTAAATCACAGAACATTGCACAATAAAGGATACTTAGCCTATATAGCCAAAAGTACCAACCCAACATACTGAATACATACGGTATGTGCCTTTACTTACTTGTTCATTCCAATTTCCATTGGACCCAAGGGTCATGATACAGGGTACCTTTTTTTGATGGGTGTACACCCACTAAAATATTATTCGGCACCCGTGTCATATCGTACCACACCATAAGGGTGCCAAATATTTTTTTAGTGGTGTACATTTGTGAGCTAGTAAGGTATTTTTAGACAAACTAGATGTAATATAATTCATAAGTGAAGGTAACTTGAACTAAGCAGTTTTGCAAAGTAACATTTGATGAGCTTGAGTGGTTCTCCTGTACAGTGTTTCCTTTCTCTAATTTTAATCATCTTCATTTCACTGTTAATTTCCTCCTCGCACACATTATACTTAATGTAATTCACTTTTCCTCTAAACCACTCACTGAAGCAGCATAACTTGTAAATAGTAGTGGGTTCAACTCGCATTTTTATCCTGTATAATTATTTACTGAACCTACAACCTTTTCCAATACTCTTACTCTCATTTCTCTGAACATCTTCACTGATGCACACATGTGACCCATTACATATTTTTATATTGCAAGTAGCATCAAAGGGAATTCTCCCCAAAGATAACAGTACAATACAGTACAAAACTTATGACATACCATCTTTCTTGCATACCACAAGAGGCATCCAAGATAGCCATAATGACACCAGCCAACAATACTCAGCCTGCCTACTTGAGTTACAAATGCTTGTGGGCAAATCAAATAATGATGAATTCATTGCATGGCAACACTGCACGGGTGGTGTGACATAGGCACAGCACTCCTATTTTTCCCTCATAACTAAGTGCTGAATATTAAAAAAGGAGAAACCATAAGTACTGTACTGTAAAGCAAGACCACATTATTATTATTATTATTATTTTTTTTTTTTAAGAACTGTATATGGCAAGTCTGCAGTAATTGCTCAATGTTTAGAGCAACCACGTTTATGCAACCATAATTTTTACTTACCACCTTAAACACAGCCACAACACACTCACTTGCAGTCAGGTGCAGCATTCTCACACTTACAAATTCTTAAACCAGTGTTAATTCATTGGTTATACAGTACTGTACAGTATCCACAACCTTAAAAAATAATATTTCATGCGGTTTTAACTAAATACAGAACTCCTTCATTCCATTGCAATACTCTCACATAAAACTACTCTCATAATATGAACATTGTATGTGTGAGCTCCAACAATGTTTTGGTAACAATTCATCTTGCACAATATTTTGGACAAATTCATAACATAGCATTATTTATATTTTATAGTTTACTGTACTTGATACTGTACTAAATCAAATAATGAACTTGTTTTATGCTCAACTGTCCTACTAGACCTAATATACATTCATATACAGAAAAATAAATGTTAACATACATGGATAAATACATGAAAAATAAGGCAAATAAAAGCAATCTGTATTTTATATAAAATTTCATTTGAATCAAGCAATTGAGTAGCTACAAGATAAAGACTTCACAGCACTTTAAGGAACATGGACCTCATACCCAGGGTCTAGTTGTGAATGAAAACAGACCAGTAATTTTAAAGAAAGCATATTCTGTATGCAACTTTCTCTCAATAATATGTTAAGTAAAATTTGGTGGGTGTAAGTTCTTTGGTGGCCCTGGGATTGCAGCCCCACCCACCCACCACTGCTCATGCCTAATGCTGCAAGTTTCTTTTTTGGGGGGGATTACACAAATAAGTAGTAAAACCCTTTTAGATTCTCAATTCAGTATTTATATACGATCACTTAATTTTGAAGTACGGGTATAGACAATGATAAGTGAAATCTACGTTTCAAATTCTCAGATAACACTGGTACTACACCAAGTAGGACATCAAAATTCATATACTGTACACTGCATAAACTTGTATCAAGTCGATTCACAATTCTTTATGAAATTTAAATGAAAGCTTCAAGTTAACTACTGTACTATATAACTTAAAAAGACTTCCAGTGATAGATAACAGTTCTATTTTGCAAAAAGTCAAACAAATAAAATTTAATTCTTAATACTGAAGCAGTTGATTTTATGTGGTGGATATCAAACCAATTGTACATTACATACAAATTGCAAAAAACAAAATGATTGCTTATGAAGTAAAAATATCTCAGGTGATGAATTAAGGAGACAATAGTTAGGATATGAACTTCTGCTTATCAGTACAGTACAGTATATAGATATACTACAACCAAACTGTCAAAAGTTAACCAGGCTAAGAGGTCACTGATGTTTGCTAATCAATCAGTGATGATTTATAGAAGACAAAAGTCCACCCAAAATAATACATGAACAATTAGTTAAAAGAAACCTCACACTGCATACATATATATTGAAAATGGTTACAAAGAATGCGCATCCGTTGAACTCGTGTCCTGGGGATATGTTGTACATACATCACACAACTCCAAGCTGACCTTACTGGAACCCACAGACAACCTATAAATGGAAAGTAAATAAAAGTAAACTATCTTGTGCAGTATCAAACTGTTAATACTGTATACAAGACATACAGTACAATTTGGCATACAAATTTATTTCAAGTCATTGCCAGTCATATAATACTGTATTCTAACGTAAGTCAGCACTGTGCCTGACATGTGCACATTTACTGGAAATTACATAAATAGTCAACTAATCTAATCCTCCCACTCACCTTATTTTACCAAAAAGAAGTCATGATGACAGTGGATATTGTAGCCATCCACCTGCAACATGCCCATTTCTGGTGATCTCGGTTGAAATTGTTCTCATACCAGGACCTTGTGTGAAGAGCGGTGTTGTTCCTGTTTTCGACGTTTTCTTGTATAAACCATGCCAGCCCAATCTTTCCTAAAGGGGGAGGCATGGAAGGTATGGGGAGGGAGGGAAGAGGGGGAGGGACGGATGCAGTTGGGAGTGGAATTATTAAGTGAAGCAACAAGGACAATTTATCTTGATGTGAAATAGGACAATTCAGAAACCAATATCTAATTCACATTGATAGTTATGTGCAAGTCATAGATCGAAGACTGACAGCAATAGACTTCAGAATGGTTGATTTTTTTTTTAGATCAGAGCTTGTGTTCTAATACATATCATTATCATCTTAACAATCCATAGATTGCAATATTCTAAGGGAGTTTGCAGTGCAATTTAGACTGATAATTTTAAAAGAAAGTTCTGCCTAAATGTAAAGGGTGTAATTTGGAGGACTTCACCTGTGTCTTCTCTTGCTCCCTTTACATAACCAAATCAGCTCACTTCTGAGGACCACCCTCCTCTTTAAATTTCAACAGCCTGAATTATAGTTCAAGGCAATAGTTACATTTTATCAACACAATCTAACATTCTGCAGAATTTTTCAACAAATGCTTACACCTTTGTTCTTTGATTTCTAATTTACATTATTAAGACATTAACAAAATAGAAACTTCAAAAGTGGTGGTGAATAAGTTTGTCTAAGTATGTGATAGTGGGAAAATGAAGATAAATGCAAGGAAAATAGGGTACTGTAATGGTTTTTGAAAGGAAAGGGTCTGAAAGAAATTTAGGAAAGGGTTTGACAAAGAAATTTTGTAAAACATATCAATATTGTTAAAATAATGAAATATTGAAGGAGGTTTAAGGATTTCAAGTACAGTACTTGTACAGTAAGTCCTCGCTTAATGTCGTGGTTCCGTTCCTGAAAACCGCGACGAAAACGGAAACGTTAATGGAATCAATTTTCTCCATAAGAAATAGATAAAATACAAGAGCTACATTCCCCAGTCTCCCTTTGCCCCATAAAATACATTACATATACATAAATTCAATGGAATTTTTATTGAAAATAGTATATATTATACATCCAAAGAGATAAATAAACTAAATCATTTTGTATTGTGCTCACTGATGGGCGGAGGTGGAGCGAGTGTGTGGTGGTTAGTGGAGAGGGGGAGGGCGGGAGAGGGGGAGGGTGGCGAGTCACTAAGACCCGGAGGATGGCTCCTCCTCCTGCTCTGACTGGGTGAGAGAGGGTGATGCACCGTACAAAGTAGTCCATGATGACATTATACAGAATCGGCAGGACATTGTCCGAATCATGGGTATATAAAGAGTAGACGTTATAACGAAACAACGTTGTCGGGGACAACGCTGAACGAGGACTTACTGTATTTGGGAGTAATGTTATGGAAAAATTTAATGATATACTGTACAGTGAATTAGAGACAAACTAACACAAGAAAAGAGGGTGACTGGCCTCCTGGGAAGTATCATTAAAAGCATGATTATAGGCTTAGAAGTTAAGAAAAGACTTGAGAAGGTATTATACTTCCTACCTTAACTTATGGCAATGAAAACATGGATGTAGAATGAGGCAGAATGTTCTAAAATTCAAACTAGAGACAAGTTACTGGAGGGATGCACCTGGAGGTTACCAGAATGGAATGGGTAAGAAACAGGAAATGTACAAAGTGTCTAATATGGAAGAGAAGACAGAGGGTGTGCACTGTGGAGTGTTAGAAAGGGAAAAGAGGTTTGCCGAGATGGCACTGACGTTAGAAGGATGCTGGAGAGGAAAGTATAGTGTGCACAAGGTAGAGGAAGACTGCCTTCATCATAAGAGGTAAAGGAAGAACAATACTTATGCATCAGAGAGGGAAGAGGATAACTGGTAGCCTCGAAGCCCTTCTGTCATGGCCACCCCTTCAAAGGGGAGTTTCCAGGAGGGGCGAGGCATCATAAAAGATAAAATGTTAATTCGTACACTCATCACCTAGTTTGTTTAACAGGATAAAAGATTACTTGATACAGTAAAACACATTTATGAGCTTCATTTCATTTCATCACCTTTGGAGCTAGTGTGGTAAACTGCTTATCAGATGGAGGCAAGTGACCCCACTTAACCATTAGAAGAAAACCTTCTGGGATATAAAATGAATAATTTTTTAAAGATTATGCACTACTGTAGAAGGATGGATGGTGAAGGAGAGGTTCTCTGATGTACGATGAATAAGTCCAGGTTGGACTGAACTTGAAGACTACATTACAAAATCAATAAACAAGCAAGGATACATGGTACAATACAATGGAAAACTAATAAAGGTTACATCAATATGGGTGAAAATTTTACTGTGAATCACTTCAGTGTTAATATGAGTGAATGTATTGTAGGTTACATCACTTTGGGTGGACACATTAAAGCAGGTTGTCAATATGAGTGAGCACATTATTATAGGTTAAGTAAATGGGGGTGAATACATTGGGTTTATGTGAATATGGGAGGACACGCTGATGTGGGTGATATCTAAATGGTTGGACAATTTAATACAGGGTAAGATCAAATTGATGGACAATTTAATACAAGTTATGTCAAAATGGGTAGATACATTAAACATGAGTTACATCAATAAGAGTCAACACATGAGTCTGGGCAGTATACAGTAGGTGGACACATTAATGTGGGTTATGTGAATATGGGTAGACAGCTGAAAGTGGATTATGTCAACATAGGACAGCTTAAAGTGGGTTATGTCAACATAGGTGGACAGCTTAAAGTGGGTTATGTCAACATAGGTGGACAGCTTAAAGTGGGTTATGTCAACATAGGTGGACAGCTTAAAGTGGGTTTTGTCAACATAGGTGGACAGCTTAAAGTGGGTTGTCAACATGGGAGGACAGCTTTAAGTGGGTTCTGTCAACAAGCACAGAAAAATTGTGGGCTACACACCAAGATGGATGAACAACTTTTAAAATTGGTTACATCAATATGAGACCAACATAATGTGGGTTACATCAATATGGATGGATACACTAAAATGGAAAATGTAAACATGTGGACAACTGTGGTTTAACCTAAAGTACAACAAACAAGATGACATTTAAAAGCTTCAATGTTTAACGACAAAACTTATCATCCAGGAATAATTAATATATTTCTTGTTCACAAACACTTGGATGTATATAAATGTACAGTAAATTTCACATACATACACACACATATGGAGGCACTACTGAAGAAAAGGAATCTGGGAATCAATGGGATATGGGTGGAAGAATGAGGAACTATAGTTAATATTTTGGGGTTCCTAGAAGTTGATGGAGAAATAATGATATTAATGCTATGTACTATGGTGAAGAGTGCTACATTATTAATCACTATCAGTGTTGCTTCATGTAGAACAAATAATAGTCAGTGTTACTTCATGGGGAACAAATAAGTCAGTGTTGCTTCATGGGGAACAAATAATAGTCAGTGTTACTTCATGGTGAACAAATGATAGTCAGTGTTACTTCATGAGGAACAAATAAGTCAGTGTTGCTTCATGGGGAACAAATAAGTCAGTGTTACTTCATGGGGAACAAATAATAGTCAGTGTTACTTCATGGGGAACAAATAAGTCAGTGTTACTTCATGGGGAACAAATAATAGTCAGTGTTACTTCATGGAGAACAAATAATAGTCAGTGTTGCTTCATGGGGAACAAATAAGTCAGTGTTGCTTCATGGGGAACAAATAAGTCAGTGTTGCTTCATGGGGAACAAATAAGTCAGTGTTACTTCATGGGGAACAAATAATAGTCAGTGTTACTTCATGGAGAACAAATGATAGTCAGTGTTACTTCATGGGGAACAAATAAGTCGGTGTTGCTTCATGGGGAACAAATAATAGTCAGTGTTACTTCATGGAGAACAAATAATAGTCAGTGTTACTTCATGGGGAACAAATAAGTCAGTGTTACTTCATGGGGAACAAATAATAGTCAGTGTTACTTCATGGGGAACAAATAAGTCAGTGTTGCTTCATGGGGAACAAATAATAGTCAGTGTTACTTCATGGGGAACAAATAAGTCAGTGTTGCTTCATGGGGAACAAATAATAGTCAGTGTTACTTCATGGGGAACAAATAAGTCAGTGTTACTTCATGGGGAACAAATGATACTCAATGTTACTACATGAAGATTTAAGGAGTCATTGTTGGCATAATCTACCAAGAATATGCAACACGTAACCTAGTCAGTAAAAAAAATTCTGGATATACGTATTACAAAAACACCTGTGTATGCAAGACTGAATGCAGTGTTATGTATTCATCTGAATGTATATGAAGAGAATACTACCAGTATTCACATTATGAAGGTGTACTGCAGTAATGCACAGGTACAATCATCATCATCTTGCCTCTACATTTGTCTTTGAACATAATTTAGACCTTGAAAGTACTTTGCATCAGGATGGCATTATTAACTGAAAACATGTTAATTAAAAAAAACCTTACATCGAAATGAAGGATACCACAATCCTTTAATATTTTCCTTAATGAACAACAAAATAATTTCTATCCACGAATTAATCAATTATGTAGAACCAAAATACAGCACACAACTCAAAGGTTACCCACAACAATGGAGAATGGCTATTCCTTTCAATTTCTTTAAAAGAAAAGTTTCACAAACAAAAAGTTTTGACCTTGAAGGTAACCATTAATATGTATGCATTCCCCGATAATATCAACCATTTCCATCTAATATGAAGCTTCCTTGGTTCAACTGTTTAACAACTAAATGATTTGGCCTCCAATCTTTTCTGATACTCGAAACAATATAACAAAAATAATAATGTGCAACTCCTATGTAACTGTAAGAGCAGCTTAATGAACCATCCTTCTGACCATCATCACAGCGGCATAGCAGTAAAGGGCACAATAAAAAGATTACAGACATAAACACACTATATTTCACGTTTAACAGAGTAATATTACTTCTACTTTGATACATCACTAAAGAGCAGTAGATATGTTGGACTCCTAAAGAATAATAATTGTTAATAATTAACCATTAGGCTTCTGGATGTAAACATGGGGTTATACCAAGCCTATTCACACACCATCTAACAAGCCATAAAGTCTTTGGGGATATTATGATACAATAACTTGGGCACTTTAATCCGAGTTTTTGGGTCATAATCAGGAGGCCCCCAAAACTTAAGCAACAACCCATGATACCAGCTACAGCCCTCATAGCACTGTTTACCTCACTCGTACTTTGTTGACACTTACAATATACAATACATTATAAATTATTATATGATACATTAGCACCAACCCAGTACGAGAGCAACAAAACACACACCCAGAGGTACCAACTGGCAACACAGCTCCCTGAGGGTATCACTTGTTCTTGGCTTGCCTCCTGCTATGACACCAATGCATTCCTTCTATGCACTTAAAAATAACTTGACCAGACAGGAGGAACCTGTGGACTGGAGGAGAATTTACAAGCAACTGCAGAAGGCACATACAGTACTCTAACCACTGGTGAGTTCTTGCCAATCGGGCATCATAAGTCTGGTAACGCTTGACACAGGTCCTTCCTCTCTGGGACTGTAATGATAGAAGCTGTGGAAACTTCCCTTTGCAAAATGAGCAGAAAACATTAAAACTTGTTACACACTAATGGTGTGGAATGATGAAATAGGGCTGTTCCAGGAGAGGGCCTTACATAACCAAGACTAAGAAAAATAAGGATCTCTTAAACACAGGATTTATGACCATCATGGCAGACTCAGGAAAGGCCCTTTACAAGAAAAATATTAATGACAAATAGGATAATGGACAAGAAACAAGTATCAATATATATATATAAATATAATATATATATATATATATATATATATATATATATATATATATATATATATATATATATATATATATATATATATATATATATATATATATATATATATATATATATATTATATATATATATAATCAGTGCCAAATCGAATGACTAGCAAGATATTAATAATTACAAAAAGGTAAATATGTATGATAGTATCTTAATAGGCAAAATTCTTACTGAAAGTCTAAGTTGATGATGAAGTAAAATATTCTGATGAGACCCTAGTCATAAGATGCTGAATCTGCTGGTAGCATACTAGCCATTTAGTGAACATCATTATGTGGTACTTCTGTCACTACACTGATACCATGGGTGTTGACATAGATGATTCATAGATTATATGTACACGGGCAATCAATCGAAACCTAACAATTTACATCCACCAGTCATTGTATTGCTTCACCGTTCTTCTCGTCTTAGCCCAGCTGCACGTCTTCACTCCGAGTCGTTTACGGCCCAAACTAGTTTAAAAACAAGAACAAAACAAAATAACAGCCGTCAGGCAAAACAAACAGTGGGTAAACTAAAGCATTAAAAGAGCATCCAACACAAGCTGCAGGATTTCTCATCTACGCATTATGAGATCAACGGGTGAAAGCTGACTATTACGAGTAGTTTCACATCTTAATACCTAGGTATCTAAAGCAGATCTGCTCTTACCAGATATATCTTACTCTAGTGAGTGGATAAACAGGGTCAAGATCATCAACAACAGATACATTAAGGAACTCTTGCAATTAAATTGAGAAGGTACTGTACTCTATATACTCTAAAAGGAGGAAGTTTCTAGTCAAAGTTACTAGTCAAACACCTTGCATGAAGAACATCTAGAGTTAAAACTGTACAGAGCGTCAGACTTAGACTACAAGACTGTACAGGACAAGCTGACAGCCAGAGACAGCGACTTGACTTAACCTGGAAACGACATGGCCTTATCTAAATCACCAACAGCTTGTGTTCGATGAGGAAAAACATAAGGCACATGCAAACAATAAATCTGGAACAACCCTTGTTCAGGAACATACAAATGATAACTGAAAAAGAATTACATAATAAAAAAAACGTTCATTGCAGAAAGAGAGCAGATTTCTATTACTGACAACCTTCAGCACATTATATATATATATATATATATATATATATATATATATATATATATATATATATATATATATATATATATATATATATATATATATATATATATATATATATATATATATATATATATACACACACACACACACACACACACAGGGTATATAATTATTTTCCCAAGGTCAGTTGTTTGAGGGCACTGGACACACCCTAAACAAGAACCTTAAAGGAAACACACCACCCACACATTCAACCTGTACATTCACACAACATAGTTTTCAAGCCCAGTTCACCACGGGAGGGTCTGGACCGTACCCACCCCTGAATTCCCCGGGCTTGGGGGTCAACTACCACACTCAAGCACTTAATGAGAATTAAAACAGACCATTAGTGTGCCTTATACTACATAAAATAAGAACGTTGTCACTTCATGCTTTCATATTCTCATTGAATCTCACCTGTGAGACCTGCACTCAGTCTGCACAAGTACTGAACTAAGTAAAACTGTACAGAACAAATGCATTAACAACAATATGCAAGTGAGAAAATCTTCAAAAGTCTACTGCTCCTCCTGGCTATGATCCTAACTAGTGGTATCTTAGCAAGACCTTATGTTCAAAAAAGCTTTTTTTCTTGTAATGAAGCTCTCACCCACAGATTCACCACACCTGTCCTGAAAAGCAATTTAGCTCGCTGCCCAGGCTGCATGTAAGAAAGAGGCGCTGCATCAGTCATTGCAGGTTATTAGAAGCAACATATTGGCACACGCACACACAGCCAAATCTTTGCCAGGCTGACAACCAAATCTTTGGAGGGCAGACAACCAAATCTTTGGAGGGCAGACAACCAAATCTTTGGAGGGCAGACAACCAAATCTTTGGAGGGCAGACGACTACTGGCAAATATTTGGCCAAAAAACAACCACACCTCTGGCAGACAGACAATCAAAACTCATCATTCTTCCTTCCTCATCCAAAAATCCCATCTGTTTCCCCATTCCAGAACCAACTAAGGAATAGATTTTACATTACATCACTACACAGTACTAACAATTACAGAATAGTGACACTACTCAAGAGACAAAATATTCCCAATACAGTCTTGGAATGAGTAAACATCTTCCACCTCCAAGATTAGTCAGAGATACAACTAGATATCATCACAAAATTCAGATAGTTTATAACTGAATCAGAGAAGCAAATTTTCCCTTGGTTGATTTTAATTAGAATCAAAATGCAAAAATAAAAAAAAGAATAAATGTACGTACAGTATAATACACTTAACATCCAAATTAAATGGCTGCCGTATGCAAAATATTCCGGGAGTGAATCACTTAACATGTCATCAAAGAGAATTACAACTAGCTATGCCTCTGACGTTAAATCTCTCCCATACAACTATTCTTCTCTTCATCCACAAAATCAACAACTATCCACAAAATCAACAACTATCCTCATCATCCACAAAATAAACAACTAGGTATCCTCATAATCCACAAAATCAACAACTGTGCTCTTCATTCACAAATCAACAACTATCCTCTTCCATAAAATAAACAACTATCCTCTTCATCCCCAAATCAACAAGTATCCTCTTTATCCACACAAAATCAATTATGCTCTTCATCCACAAAATCAACAATTAATCTTGCTCACAAAATCAACATGTATCCCAAAAAAAAGTTTGTTGATTTGTTTATATATATATATATATATATATATATATATATATATATATATATATATATATATATATATATATATATACACACATATATATATATATATATATATATATATATATATATATATATACACACATATATATATATATACACATATATATATACACATATATATATATATATATATATATATATATATATATATATATATACACATATATATATACACATATATATATATATATATATATATATATATATATATATATATATATATATATATATATATATATATATATATATATATATATATATATATATACACATATATATATATACAGTGAGTTCTGCTATAACGCGTGTTTTGATAACGCGAATTTGCTCTAACGCGATTTATGAATTAGGAACGATATTTGTATAACGCGAACGCTTGTTTGCTATAACGCGATTTTTGCTTACTCTTTCTCCAATTTTGTGGTACAGTGGGGTATGCTATAACGAATCTAATTGGTTCTAGAACCTTGTTCCTTATAGCATTCGTTCGTTATAGGATTAATCCGTTCCAGGCCCCCAAATACAACCACTTAACACTGAAAAATATAATATAAAATTTTAAAAATTGTAAAAAAGTGCATAAATATGCATCTAAACCCCTGAAATAAAGAATATCATTAATATTTGTAATAAAAAACAATAAATTAGAAAAAAAAAAATTAAATAATGTTCGTTGTAGGAGTTTCGTTCGTTATAGCATTCTCAATTTTATAGGTAAAACCGTTCGTTATAGGAATATTCGTAGTAGGATCCATTCGTTATAGCATACCCCACTGTATTAACTGTGAATATAGTAAAGAAGAATATCAACAAGAAGCGTTCTGGTGATAGAATTCCCGGTGATGATCGTAAAAGAAAGGATATAACACTTGAAGAGAAGCTCGATTTTATCAACCTCAAAATCACCCTTCTCCCCCATCAAGTAAAGTGTTACATTTACTGTATGATTTCATTATTAGATATGAATGTAACATTTATTTAGACTGTGCTATCCTTTGTGTTAGGCTAACTACTAAATTTTTTCGATTTCGAGTAATCTGCACCTAACCCTATTTTCTCCATAAGCCCTGTTATTTCTATTACGCGATTTTCTATAACACGATATTTTACAAGAACACAATTATCACGTTATAGCAGAACTACCTGTATTCTCAGCTCGTCACAAACATTCACTCAAAACTCAATTCATCAAAAACTTTTGCCCAATATTCAGAATTTATCACAAAATTTGATAAACATTCTTAATATATCACAATCATTTGGCAAATATTCCCACTTCACCATAAACACATAGCAAATATCCATAGACGTAAGGACTTGTCATCTCCAGTAAAGATTCCATAACCCAGCTCTTGACTTTGATCAGTTACAGCTGTAAACGTCGATGAGTTTTCCCTTCCTCTCGATACCAACAAATGTCACATTCACACGGGATACACATACCTATTAGATGATATAACTTATTTTAAAAATGATGTATTTTTCTCTGAAAATCTTATTAGCAAACATTTACCTATTTTTTTTATTTCTGTACAGACTAGAACCTAATTACTATACAGTATATACTATACCATTTAATCCCAGAATAATATATTCACAATCTTGGTTGTAAGTTCAGTGTTGTTATATACTATGTGAGTAAACTGATGTGTTAAAAGTAGCAATATATTATGCATGTGCAGAGGTGCAGGAACCATAATGTTGGGAGATTTTCAAAATGTGGATTGTCGTAGTTAGTGCATTAACCAATGAAACTTTTTACTAATATGGCTGAGTGTTTAGTTTTGTATAGGCTTCCCCAATTAAAAAAAAATGTGTAAGGGGTATAGAAGAGGTTTGTTTTATTTGATTATTGCTGGTGCCATTATTATGCCAAAATTATGCACTCAATCATCATCAGCATTTACATTCCCATTTCATCAAGAGTCAAGAGCTGCTGAGAGAGATAAGGATAAAGACTCTGATAGAAGAGCTCTTATGATTCAGCCTTGATCTACATCACCGAAGATCATTAAGCTTCATGCTACTCAGTGCAATCACCAGCCTGTAGCTGTGCAGTTTTTGGCCAATAAGAGTATAAAAGTCAGCTAGTAATGAGAGCATCGCCCTGGCTATTACTGATAAGCTTGGCTTTGTAAACTGTGCAGCGACCAGTCAGTGACTCCACAGTAGCCATCCAGCAAGTGTGCTCTGCTCAGCCAGTCACCAAATAACTGACTGTTTGTAGGCAACATTTAACCACAAGTGTACAACAGCTGGTTAAAACAGCTATAACCAGCCATGTGTACATTAACTTGAGTAATGTATGTGCAGTAGAAAGCCTATATAAGTACACAGGGTGGGGAAGAGAAAGCCAATAATAGGGCACAAAAGATGTGAATATATACCCGGTAAGTAAAATACATAATTATTCCCAGCCGAACATGTGTAGGTCAGATTAAATTGTGCGTTTGGAAATTTTGCATTTGTTATTGGATAAGGTGCATTTCTCTAACTTTTAATGAAATGTTATACTGTACTGTAAAAAAAAAAAAAAAAAATCTTTAGAAGTAAAATTTGGTGGGAAGTGCTTCAGAAAATGGCTTTCTTTTTTTTTCCAGCCTGGCACAGTAGGTAGGTAACAACTGCAGAACAAGCCATTTATTTGGTACTTAACTATCCGAGGTAATACTAGCCAGGGTGCACAGTTTTTGGGCAATAGCTCAACAGTAGCCAGTCTGTGTGCATTTACTGACTATTAACTGTAATTAGTACCCAATACTTGTGCTTCTACTAGCCAGTATACACACTGCAGCTGGTCAGCAACTTCTCAGTAACCTTTTAGTAACCCCACTACACTCTAGGCTATAGGAGAACATAACACACTTCTGCCAAAACACACATCAGACAAACAGAACAAGGTCATGTTCATAATTTATATATCCCTTCCCAGCTTGCTTTGTCTTACTGGTGTATAATGAGGCATCACATGTTTCAAACCAACTTAGTCAATGCACCATGATCTCCAATGGCCTCCATGAGTGTGTTGGGTCAGCTGGGTACATTTCCACCCTTCAAAGGACCACACCAATACCTTATGCATAAAAGTTACAGCCAGCCATCCTGATAAACCAGAACTTTACACTTACCATTCCTTAATAATTAAGACTGACAAAAATACATATAAAATACAAATGAACAGTACTATGTAATGCTCTAACTAATCAGGATTATATTCAACTGGATGCCACACACACACATACATAAGGTATTGGTACAGTAAATCTGTATTCCCCATCTAAAGTGCATAAAAAAAAAATCATAAATAAATAAATAAAATCACTAGACATCTGCTTGTACAACATATCTAGTGATTTATTTCCCAACTGTATATAGAAAAATAATAAAGATAAAAACCATATGCTGTAGTGAAGTTCTCAAGAGGGACCCTGAGAGTCTCCAGGACAAACTGCAACAGTTTCTCTTGACTGGTTGGGTCAACAAATGGCAATAATACTTGCCTTCTTTACTCAAGTGATTTGAAAAGATAATTATGTCTGATTGTGATCCACCAAAACGAACCTTTGGTAAATGTGAAGAATTAATTTCACAAATGCAAAATCAATAAAAGTCCTTACAAAAAGTAAATAGAATCTGACATTACAGAATGAATGAAATTATGAATATGCAAATTATTATTTTGTATATTGCAAACAGATAAAAATATAACCGAAGATTTTGCAATTATTATTAAGTACGTCTAGTCCTCTTTAACAGAATTAAGAGCTGAATAATAAAAATTAATTCCATAATGAAAACCTAAACTTAAAGTTTAGGATGATTTTAAATAATTCATATGGAAATAAACTAGGAATCATAATAATAATGAAATTTTTTTCATACTTATGAATTACAAAAGAAATGCAATATACATCAAAAGTTCAATGTAAATACATAACATACAAGTAAAATACTCATGCAACTCTGAAGTCAATTTCAGTCATGCATAATTGTAAAAGAAACAAACAATCATAAAGTGTGTAAATTAGGATCAAAAGTGTGGTGGTAGTGATTGAAAAAGGCTGGTCAATACCTAGAGCATTATGTCCAGCCATATTGCCACCTTTTGAGACAGTCATTGAGTGCAATGACAGCCATCTACTGTGCTCTGGCCTTCAACAAGACCTCTACATATTGGGTCATTGGTCAGCACTCTTGCTTACCTCGTTTACTGAACTGCAAACTCGAAATATAGTACCTTCAAATTAGTTTTATTTTACCTAATTGAATTAAGCAAGAATAAAGACTCATCACTACTATAGCTAATTCACTAAACATTAGACCTCTTCATTAAGTGCTTCAAATGCATTTGCATACATACTGCTACCATTTCTAGTAAAAGTCCTAGCTGAAAAATATTTCATTTACACAGAGTTACTCTGCCTTAATTCCAATGCGAGATAATGCACCAGTGTTTCAAGGCATAGATCTGGTTATCCAGGACCTAGTCATTTATCCCCACTTTTGAGTCTTTCTCCAAGTGTTGCTTTAAAGTTTAAACCACACAAAATTTGACAGCACTCTTGTTCACCTGACAATTTCTTTTCATTCGGAAGAGTTAACATCATTAACAACCTTGTCTCTGATAAAAATAATCATTTCCACCCTCATTAAAAAAAAAGCATGAATCTTCTCAAGAAAAATATGAGTGGGTGCAGGAAGCCCCAAAAACAGCCTTTTTGACACTATCAAGATCATACTCCTCCTGCCTGAGTGCAAAGTTATCTGTTGCCCTTACCTATGGTTGGTACAAAATTCTAGAACAAGGATTATGTTAAGAAAAATAATGACATCATGAACAAAGACCAGAAAGAATTTATTCTATGAATGTAAAATAAATATGAATTCATATGCCATCTTTCTTATAGAGTACAGTACAGTTATAAAGGTCAAGGAAAGAGCAATAAGATTAATTTTAGGAGAAGTATTTCAGTGGCTGAATAGGCAAGCTTCTGTCACTATAAAGATTACACCTCTTGCAAAACAGCACAATACTACTTAACAGTACAGTACCCACAATTTTCCCTTTGCAACTCCAAAAATTTACTAAGAGGTACAACCTGAATAATGACAGAGGTGCCAAGTGCAAGAATGATGCATGTAGAGTGCATGAAAAACGCATAACAGGGTGCACGTACAGGACCATTCTAGCTGATGGCCATGACAAGCAGGCATGTACAAGCTCCGTGCACGACCAACAAGCATCGTGCACGACCAACAGGCTGGCACCAGTGTCTCTCATGTAGGGCCTAAGACCTGACTTCCCTAATTAATGCAGTTTAATTTACTTGTTGAAAAAAAAAATTAAATTCTCGACTAAAAAAAATTTTCTTTTTTTTAATACAGTTCTGTACTAATAAAATCTCTACTTTATCTGACTAAATGTAAAGCCTCTGATGCACCATCAGAAAAGTCAGGCCATGTATAGATGAGTCATTCCTCAAAAACCGAGGTAACTAGGCAACCACGAAACCTCCGCAAAAAAAATAGATGCTACCCCTAGTGTCATGTGATAGCGAGGCGACTGCATGTTCCTCGTTTTCGGCATTCTGTGTCTCTAATGGAGGCACCTTTGCATTCTGCCTTAAGTATAAATGTTTACAAATAGAGTGTAAACTGTGTCCCAGTGGACCATTCCCGTGAACTGTAGATCTCGTTACCTCACAGTAGGTGAGAGGAGAGAGGTGACTCACTACACCTCGACTAAGCCCAATTTTACTGGAAAGAGTGAGGGCTGTTATTGGCGTTATTCAGCATGGTGTTGGTTGTTGGGTTGACGGGTGGAGCGTTAGTGTCCGTCTTGTTTTCACTTCCTTTCGGAAGGTAGGGCCCTTTGCACCGAAAAGAAGGCAGGAAAGGAAAAGTGGTGTAAATTTTTATCAGTTCTTAAAGACAATATCAACTGGAAGAAGGGAGACAGGTACATAACGCCGAGACGATGACGATGGTGTTGTAGAGAAAGAGATCGAGCCCACCTGTGATGCCACAATGACCCGACAAGGCGTTCACCAACACAGGTCAGACTCAGGTCTACAGAGTAACAAGAGGTATTAGTATCATGTGATTAAAAATATAAACATACCAAGAAAGAGAGAAGAAGAAGAAACCCTCCTCCCCCCTGCCAGCCATCACCAGTTGTACAAGTTCCTCGGTAACTGCACATGCATGATGAGGTCAGCTATTGTGAGCCTTGGTGCATGTCTGCAGAAGGCTCAGAACTGCTGCACGTCACTCAGTGATGGTATGTGAATGCCCTACATTAACAGACACCTGGGAGGGAGCCTTAGTTCATGGGCCACAATGGGTATCAAAACCTCTACCTACTAGGGAGCTACTCACTAAGAATTGATTATTACTTGATATCTTGAGGGATGAGGTATTTAAAAAATTTAATGTCAAAGTGCCAATGGAACTAAATCAATCTTTAACAAATACAGGTACAACACTTTCTCCTTAAGCTACATTATACAGTACTGTATGTGCAATTTCTTTTTAAAGCATCTTACCGAAAAACTCCTCCCGTAATCAAAAAGTTGGCTGTTACCCATAAACTGTAGCTTTCTCAAGTGCTGCTACTGCCAACCAACCACTACATCAGAGCTACAACCACCAACACCAATATCACCAGAGGCACTATCCCTCACCTTCATGGAGTTAACAATCCAATTAAATGCCTGTGAGTGAGCAAAAACAAAACGTATCAATATCATGAAAGGAACAAGACCCTCTGAATAACTTACCACCAGGCAAAATTGTGTATCCACTCAGGTCTGTAATGTCATAACTTATAACAAGACTAAGGTAATAATTACTCGAGTACTGTTTTGTTAAATAGGTAGGTGGTGGTACTCCATGAAGGAGAGTGTGTCTGTGTGAGCAACAGTTAATACACACGTTTATTACACACGTCGAAACAAACGTTAAAGACACACGTCAACACACACTAGGGCACCGTACATCCAAATGGAGCCTGACCTTGTTTTTGTTTCAAGAGCGCACATACAGAAGACATTGATACACGGCGATTTACATGAAGTAAACTATAAGAGAAAAACTTGGGGTTAGACTTCATGTTAATTTATGCTATCAAACAATAATACTTTATTGAAATGAGAGAAATAAAACCCACACAACCAAACACTGTAAACACCAACACCATATTAAAGCTGAAACTGGAGCTCAGGGCCTCACACACCTGCCCAGATGTAATAAGTTGGATGTTTACACTACAAGATATAGAATGACACCCACATCAATAATAAAGTATATATCTAAACTGGATTTCGTTTCAATTAAAGACAATATCTACCTAAAACATTTTCTCCCTCTAAGATAAAGGAGAGAAGCTTTGACATAATGAGTGACCAATCTCAAAAATTTTAATGTACAGTTGGCCAAAATAAGTATTGGTCTAACATTAATGGAAACTTATCAAAGCAAGATGGAATACTAAATGAAGTTAGAGGTTCTGTTGGCATCTCCAACACCTGTTTCCTCAAGATGGTGTCTCTCCAGGAAAACAAAACAATATTACAGTTACAGTATTTATAATTGGCAGCACTCTTACTCATCCATCCTCCTTTATTCTGCAAATTATTCTTACTTAATAATTAACTCTGTCAATACTAGTTCACTAATTTACTTCATTATTCTCTATCACTCAATTAGCTCTACAAATAAGCTTTTCATTTGTCATCATTCACCTCCAATTACAGTATCATATAACTTACTCCTCAAACTCACGTGAAGACCAGCAAACTCATCGCTCACACCACCACAAATACAGGCACTGAACCAGTTGCCCGATTGTCCAATTTCTCCTTAATTAATCTTATGTAATACTATGTGGAAAATTAAAAGAAAATTACTCTATGTACGCACTCTTAATTTTCAGTTAGGATACTCGAATCTTCCATAAAATAGATTACCGCACTAATATTTTTGTAAAGTAGAGTCTTGGTTGACAGTTTCCGGTACTTTACTGTAGTGGAAATATTAACTGTATAAGCATTAATACTGCAGTAGAAGGAGTAGCGTACGATGAAGAGGAATTTGAAGGGAAAAGAGCTCTTTGGTTTTGTTAAACAAATAATGAAGATATAAAGCAAGATAATTAACTAAGTCTCTATCATAAGCTGATCAAGAAGTACAGTAAAACCTCGATTAACCGACCACATATGGGGGGGAAGGTGCCGACGGATAATCCGAAAGGTCGGTTAATAGTACATAACGTCTACGGAAATAAAACATACATTTTCAAAGTACCTTTCCCTAACCTACCTCATTTAATTCCCTCTATTCATTTTTGTTCATTTGCCATTCATATTTCAATAGAATTTGCTTTAAAACATTAACCACTTTAGTAAATAAATATGAACCAGCACAGAAACCGTGAATAAAAAATGGAAAAGTCAAAGAACATACAGTATGTCATCACAAAAATTGTGACCAAGTCCCAGGTTGCTAATCTGACTTTCTACCTCATTTACACACAATAGCAGGGTCTCAATTATTTCTCTTACTATTGACAACACAACATACATATATATATTGTTTCACACTCTTGATTTTTTTTTTCATTTTTGCATTTATTTATAGTTCTTTATTACTACAGTGATCCCTCGGATAACGAGATTTCGGTTAATGATTTACCTTCCATAAGATTCTTAACTTCGGTTAACGAGCAATCCCTCGATTAACAAGTTTTTTATGAGCCGACCTCAACATGTTTTCGCTTGCATTTGGCGGTTCACCAGCTGTAGTATTAGTTCGCCAATACATTAATCGGTTTTAGGGCTTAAATTCCTTACTATTTTAGTAAATATCAAGAAGTTTATACTATTCAATAATTTTAAAAGTTTAATATTAAATTTTTTAGTCATTTTAACAATTATTGAACATAATTGAAGGTAAGGTAACTAGTTTTATGCGTGCCATGCAGCCTGGCAACACACCAAACAGGCGTCAGTTTCTCTGTCTTTTCAGTGGAGGTAACATCTTGCTTGACTCTCTCTTCAACTAAACGCTTTTTTTCTGTGTTTGCTTTGCAAGAAAATTACTGGTCATTTTGAAATTTATTTTACATATTGACAATATATAATGCAGTGCAGTGTTGATTTAAAGAAAATAATCTTGAATTACACCAAGAGAACTAAAATTTTATGGGTGAAATGGCACCATGGGGTGACTTCTCTTCCACCCCAATGCCTTCTCTTCTACCTTCGCCTCCACCCCCATTCTAATTCCCATCATAATCATCATCATCATCCAGGAGCCTTCTACATACACACCTAAAAGTAAGTGTATTTTTCTACCTTTTTTGTTGAATTTAGGCAATTTTCAGTGAGCTGGAACCAATTACCCAAAAACCCATTGAAACAATGGTTTCGGTTAACGAGTTTTTCGGTTAACGAGCAACCTGCTGTAACGGATTGTGCTCGTTAACCGAGGGACCACTGTATTATTATTATTATCATTATTAATATTATTACATTATCGCCCCCCCCAGGTCCTGATGTGGGTCAATGACCTGTGCCAGGGTGGGCTAATCCCTGTATATATTAAAAAAAAAATAAAAAAAAATAGTAGGAGTTCGGGATTGGCGGTTAATCCGAAAGTCGGTTAATCGAGGGTCGGTTAATCGAGGTTTTACTGTATTGGTGTTGACCAGCGTATCAGTTCAACTTGCAAGACTAAGACATGAAAACAAAACAAATAAAACTAAAAAATTAGGCTGCATTTATTTATAAACAGCACATTTAAATTGACTAGGAATCATCAGGTTTCTTATTTTCTGTAAGTGATCACATTTTCAAATATTGTAGCAGCAACATCATCTATCACTAACTTAGTGCATCCTTACCAGCCATATGACTTTTTTGGCCCATGTTATCCTATAAATAATATTCAGCTACTCCTCGACTTACGAGGGGGTTAGGGACCAAATCCAGGTCGTAAGTCGAAAATGCTTATATAATACAAAGAAAATCTAAAATGGGTGTCTCTTTTTCTTCTTAGCACCACAAATCTCTCACGTTTAAGCTTGGCAGCCATTTTAAAGTGAATTACAAAAAAAAATTTTGTCAGTACACAGCTCAACCACTAACGCCGGGACTCGAAAATACGTAATTTGACAATTTGGGTACGACTGAGGCGGGTGTATGTCCGGGTGGTCGTAAGTCAAGTAGGTCGTAAGTCGAGGAGTAGCTGTATATAGAAATACTTAAAAGACATGTATACAAATCATTGTTGAAAAACTATTGTTACTGTATACTTTAATCGTTAAGTTGTATTTCTTTTTACAATGGATATGATTACTTCATCAAAAGACCGTCAATTCATGGGTAACTTTAGTAACACGACAACAAAATGTGGTGTTCAGCAATTAATTATCAATGTCAATGGGATATATGTACTGTACAGTGGTCCCTCGGTTAACGAACGGTTCGATTCATGAAATTTTGGTTAATGAATTAGCTCCCAGAAGGATTTCAGTTCGATTAACGAACAAAACTTCAATTAACGAAATCCTTACGACAAACACGTTTTGTTGTGCGCACCAGCTGATCGGCTAGTCCGCCAATACAGTAATTGGTTGTATGTTCACATTCGTTTCCAGTGAGGTAAAAATATCAAGAAAGTTGGTCTCTTGAATATTTCTGCATTTTTACATTAAAATTATTGGTCATTCTGAAATTTAGTTAATATAATGATAATATACAGTGCAGAAATTATGAAACATGAAGGCATTAGAAGTAATGCACTTTGTAAAGAGTGCCTCTACAATCAGCCGTTTGATATGTAAACAAAGCTGCCGGTAATGCGAGACACACCTCAAAGTAAGTTAAAATACAGTACAGGTATTCTATTGTTTTTTTTATTTATTATTGTACAGTACAGTATACTGTACAGTGCAGTAGTGTATTTAGTTTATATTTAATGCTTTGTTAATTCTATTACTGGTATTACAGTACTTTGTATGTACTTTTCCTGTGAATTGGAATCAATTACCCAATATCCCATTGAAATAATAGATTTGATTAACAAAATTTTTGGTCAACGAGCGACTCTGTGGAACGAATTGTGTTCGTTAAGCGAGGGACCACTGTATGTATGTATGTGTGTGTATGTATATATATATATATATATATATATATATATATATATATATATATATATATATATATATATATATATATATATATATATATATATATATATATATATATATATATATATATATATATATATATATATATATATATATATATATATATATATATATATATATATATATATATATATATATATATATATATATATATATATATATATATATATATATAAATATATATATATAGTCATGGTATAGTGAGTTTTGATAAATTTATAAGTTTTGTCACCAAATGTCCTTGTAGCAGCTTACAGCAGCTTGCTCAACCATGAGTTACTGATACTGCACTCATCTTATTGGTCAACTGAAATATTCCACATGTAGCCCTTCTCTACAACACATGCATGACAGTATTTTTGTGGCAGGTCTTCATTTGTTCTAAATTTGTCTCGACCTCTCTTTCTCCAATCATCTGTATATCACCTAATGTTTTTCCAGGAAGTGGAAGAGGGTGGTTGTGAGTTCAACAGAATACATACCTCTCCAGAGCTTTTAACTACTCTTGATTGTAATGGACAGAAGGACATGAAGGGGCAGATCCAGGAATATAAAAAATGGGGGGGTTTATAAAGGATTTTGGCAGAGGAACATGGCAAACAATGTGAATCCAACCAGCTGGGTTTGGGGGTGGGGGGAGGACGACTATAAGCTACCCTCCTCCAGAATTTTTTTTTTTAATTTGACCTCTATCATGGCTATTTTGAGGTCATTTTGAAGCAAGGTGCACTTGATATTAGGAGATATTCTGAGGTCAATAGTAATTACTTTTTAGTACAGTATACAAAAATGCCAGAGTACAATACTGCATTAAAGAAAAAGTATTGGAATTTTCTGATAAAAAAAAGGGGGGGGGGGATTCCGGACCCCTTGGATCTGCCTTTGACATTCATTCCTCACTCAGAGAACAATACTCTAATTTGAAAGTCACCAATACTTTTATGGCCAAGTGTACCAACACTAGGTATCCCTAACTCAACACAGCTCTACCACCAACACCTTACATGAAGTCAACCAATCAGATTAATTTCCATCATTAGGCTCCCTATTTTTTTTTAATATATACAGTGAAATTAATTACTGTTAGAAAACAATACAGGTATTGGAAAGTATTAAAACTCATACACTTTACAAATCAAAAAGAATTCTTTATCATCATCACAAAACTGTGATTCTGGGCAGGTGAGTGAGGTCTTGATGCCAGCAACACCAAACTTTGTTACAACACACTGCTCATTAGTAACTCAAGTAAGCATTAGTTGCACAGGTCTTGGGATGAAGGTAATGTTTTCATGGGGGGAAATGTTGACAAAAAGCTCAATGTTAGAGTCACTTGGATCAAGACTAATAAACCAATTACTCTTTAAATGTCATTCAAAGCTTGAACAAATGATTTGTGCTACCACTTACGAATGACAAGAAAATAAAATAAATATATAAATAAGTAAATAAATGTACAATTAAGGACAAAATACTTTCAACACTTGGCAATGTCTGGCATCTATTTGTGGGTGACATACTGTGTGATTGATTTACAGGTGGTTAAAGTTGCTTTACATTTTATACGAAGTCAGAATAGCATGAAAATGCAATATATACCCAAAAAGGACAAATTGAAGTAAATATAAACTAAAACTTCCCATCCTCCTTACATACAAAACCTCCTAGTAGATGCCAAATATTGCCAAAAAGTGTTTAGGAAACTTTGTCCACAACTGTAAATGAAATAACCTTTCCCAAATAGCATCCTAACTCATGCTACCTCTAACTACTTAACAAAACTTCCCCTTGCAACCAACCCAGGAGCCAAACCTCTCAAAAGTTTAGCACTCACAATCTAACTATTACTTCACATAACCTTACTTTCTCTTACTTACCAACTATGTAATACTAAATATTATGAGGCTCATGGAGATAGCCACGAGTTTTCCTCAAAACCGTAGTAACCAAAAGCCAAGTTTAAGAGACTAGAAAATTCATAATTTGTATATTAAGTAAATGCTTAAATTTTAATCAGTCCTGTATTTCATGTCTAAATAAATTGTCAAGGAAGAAAAAAGATAAAAAAAGGACTAATGTATAACTATAATCCATCATTATATGTCACATTATAGTGGTTATTTTTTCATTATACAGTACTAAATATATTACCTTGCCCACCAATTACAAAAAGCACTTTTCAATAAAACCTGAAACTATTACTTGTACTTAGAAAATATAGCCAAACACTTCTGAACCTTGATTTCTTAACTAGGGAACTGCTAAAGTGTTACACTCAAACTAACCACACATTTATTTGTGTACTGTAACTCTCACAACTTTAATTAACCCAAAAATCTGGGTATTATTTCACCATCACACTGGAATGGTTAACTATAATAACATATAAACTTAGTTATATTACTGTAGATGAAGTGGATTAAGAAAAAAAAAGTTAATAATAGATTTTAATGGCAAAAGTAAGAAGTCAGTGAGTGGAATTTGTCAACTAAAAAGTCTGGTATTCTGCTTATTCATTAAATTTATTATTATTTTTTTTTTGAGTATTCAACAAGACTCTTTGCCAAGAATACATTTCATATTTTTAAAGATCTTTCTGATAAGCATAACTTGCACCCATGCAGTGCAGTAACTCCTCCACATCAGGAACAGTGAGTGAAGCTGCAGAAATGTACACCCAAAATGCCTTGAACTAGTCACACCTTATGTCACCCCCATCACCCACTCTACCTTTACATTCAGTGTCAACGACCAATGTTTAAAATTATTTGACAAAACTTAAAATTGACAACATTACTTACCAACAATGATGATGAGGACGATAATACCGATGACGCCCATAATGATCATCATCTGTCATGAAAAATAGTTGTTAAATACTAAAACTATTGGGGAAACAGTCAAGACGATAACTTCTTTCCCTAATCTTTACCATACAAAATAAAAACATATCCAAAGGGGTAAAGAAACCCAATTAAAAATCAAGTACAGTACCAAGCAGTGGGCAATGGTGTTGAAAAAGATTAAAAAATGAATGAAGGAAGAGATTGTGTTGTAGCCACCTGACACCTTGGCAGGAAAGAGCTTGCAAAAAGGAAAAGGTGAAAATATGAAGTTGACAAAATTTGAGCAAAGGCAGAATGTTAACAAGTTTAAGAGTTAATAAAAAGGAAAGAAAATAGCAAGTGTAACAAGTCTTACATTAGTTTGGCCACAGGAAGATAAAGCATAGCAAAATATATAAGCAATGAGTGTGTGTGGAGATGGATGAAATGTAACCACTAAGCAAATGAGTTCAGAAATGTATAAAAAAAAATTAATTTAGGCTCGACTAACAAAAAGGTGATGTTTTTGCCTGGATATTAATAGAAATGTACCTAAACTTCCTCACCCCAGTCATTAATAGTGTAATGCAAAATGTACCATAATGCATCATGAAACAGCATATGCAAAGGCTGGAAATGTGACAGAAGAAGCCTGGAAGGGCTCTGAGAGCTTTGTAATTTTTTGAGTCTACCAGTGACTGGATAGGTTAAGATGGATTTATAAACCTGTGTAATGGTATTACAAGCTTGACATGTAAACCTGAAAAAAGCTAGCAAGTAATCAGATAATAGCGAGGAAGAAATTACGGAAATAGCATTGGAGGAAGGCTACTCAATCTGATGCACAGCAGGGGGAGGTCAATCAAACAAAAATAACAAAGTACATGTACAGTATACAGATTGAGAGGAGTAAATTATCACTAAATTTTAAACTATTGTGACATCACATTTATTATTCTTTTGCTAAAATTAACAAACCATGAACAACCAATCATAAAATTACCAACTGTGAACCTAAGCAGCAGCAGTCAACTACTATACTACCATCAACTCAAATCAAAATTTGTCCTCATACACAACACAACACCATAAATTTGACTAAGGGAAGTTCTGTATAGAAAACATTATGATCTATGCATCCCAAGAAGAAAAAGGAATAACCTGTACAGTACCGTATACAAGACTTAGGTCAGGTTACAGGAAAAACTAATTATTGGCTAAATCAAGGGAATATTGTCTGCAGAAGTACAAGGTAAATCTTAGAAAATTTATTCCAAAGGTAGCATCTATACCTATGACTTCAAAATGGCGGTGCGGACAGAAAATGACAGATCAACTGAAAGAGAACAACAAATTCATATACAGTATACTACAGTGTACTGCATCTCTTATCTAACCTGACTAAAGAAAATGGTATAAAAAATAATCAAGTTTATCTTACCTTGAGGTTCTTCCACCACATTTTCCTCTTTAGTTTGCCGGCCTGTTGTTCAAATTGTGAGGCTCCTTGTTGGAGGGCATCTGAAGCATACCAAGATGCATTACAATCATGGCAAAAAATACAGTTCAATTGTCAACCTTACCAACAAAAATATCTTTTAAAAATGTCTTCTTAACAATGAAATGTACAGAGGAAAATTATTACAGTACATTACTAGCAATTAAGTGGGACTGCATAAATTCTACATTATAAATTTAATCCATTAACTATCTCCTCTCCTTAACATGTTTATCTTTTCATCTATTGTTATAACTGCAGAACTTATTGCTGAAACTGCAGGTCATATACTATACTAAAATTATGTAACATAAGACTTGGGGATCTCAACAGCATTACTCAACTTTTGATCCTACAGTTTTATAACATTTTGCTCATCAATTCTAACCATCTTTCTAACATCTGCAAAGATGACAGTAATAATAATTACATTTACTGAAGAAATCTTTGACATATACAATGGTTTAGTCTTAACTTCCAGAGTAATCAATCTGATATTTTCAATTTTTTTTTTAATCTTGAATGAAGAGGATAATAGAATGAAAGCCTGATTGTCTTCTTCAAACCTTTCATCGTGTACAATATATAAAGGTAACTGCATTTTTACTCTTATCGTATATTACTTAGAAGTTAAAACCCTAGATAGAAAGTACATGCAAAAGAAGAGTAAAAGTATTGGTTAAAATAAATAAATAAACAATAAAGGAAAGCCACAATATATTCCAAGGGGATATTTATCACACTTCAGCAGGGGTTGTATGTGTGCAGGTGTGCTCAGGTCTCGCCGGCTAAATTCATTTCCCTACGACAAGACAAGTCTTCATCACATCAACGCTACATCTACTGACTGCCAACTTTATTTAGCAAATGCACTCCCATGCAACTCTGTTGATCCATGTATAAGTTACCCATCTGGATGCCTTTTAGTTACCATGCAACTCTGTGGATTCATTAATTATCTAAGTTGCCTATCTGGATGTCACTTCCCATCTAATGCTTACAAGACTCATCCCAGGGAACATCTCCATAACAGATCTGGATTCATGTGTCAGTCAAATATTTTGATATTCATAGCATTTAATAAATGTACTGTACTGTACATGATTCTGGTAAAAGGCCAAAACAAATTTGGATTAGCCAATCATTTTCTCTATTATAAATTATCTGATTAGGCATTCTTGTGACCATTTCTCTTTGGCTAATACTGTATTGTACATTCACAACATTATGATAAATTCCTTGAATATCATGTGTTTTGCAATAGTTAATAGGAACAGCATATTTCATATAGTTGGCAGTTCAATACAGCTGACTGTATTACAGCTACTACAGTAGGTATACTCCCTTTAGCCCTACAGTAGATATAGTGTAATTACTGTAGATAAACAAACTTCTGTATGTAGACAGGTGCTGACATTTTATGTTTAAACTGACTGTTTATCAAATATTTCAACTCCTGTGCAAAAATTAAATATAGTAGCTTGAAATTTTCATTAGACCATCCAAGAATACATATAAAGATATATATTATTTTTCAATAAATAGAATTGAATTTTTTTTACTTAAATCCTGCCAATAAAGGTGGATTGTAGAAGAGTACAGATACAAAACAATAAGCCCACCAGCAAGTGCAGTACAGTACAAGCTTAGAGCAAATATTAGAAAAGCTTAAATCTTGCTACATGTATAAGCCAGTGCAGAGATGTGTAATCAAACTTTAAAGGATTTGGGGGAATCCTATCAACTTAAATATTAGTTCAACACTGTACAGTACACATATATTGTACTGTACAGTAGTATATATCCAATGATACTTGTAAAAATTTGACAAAATCTGTCACTTTACATCATTTACTCAATTGATGATTACACTTACCTCAGTTTATACAGTTAAAAGATTATTGCTGTATTTATATTGGCCTTATCTCATAACACATCACACATTTAAATTATCCTCAATCACAGAAACTGACATTTGAAAAGTACAAAGTAGATCCCCCAGTTTATATGTATAATATGTGCTGTTTTTGGAGTGTTTCCCTAAGTTGATACCAGCCATGCTGTAGAGACGTGTGGAACATATACGTTAACATATCTCGAGAGTCTATGAGAGATATTACGAGTTGCAGAAGAAATGCGAGGTATTGCAGAGCCTTACGTACCGCGCCATGCTGGTCAAACATGAGAGTGGATGGATGTTACTGATGAGTTTAAAAATATTTAGCAGTCTTGATCAAAACAGTGACCCAATTTTCATACACAGTGTCCATGCATTTTCCCTGACACTATCATCATGAAAGGGCCAAATGTGATTTAATTAACCTTTCTTTACTAAGACACACACTTAACTAGTAATTAGGAGCTGCACCTTTTCCCACACTTTAAAGGTTACCTCAAATATTGATAATTGTATCAAATTTCAAGCAACGCAAAAACTATTTTAAAAAATTCCCTGAACATAAAGTTAATAATTACAGGACTCTTCAAAAATCCATAAAAACACTAAGATAAAGTAACAATAATGAAAAAACTAGTCCTTGTGACATCTAAAATTTAATAAAAATCAAAATAAAACCTCATCAATTATGGTTAAGCCTTAACACCCATCATTGTATGATACTAAAACTGAAAGTCAAATCACTTCAAAAGCATAAATCGGATCAAAATTCCGTAAATAAAAATAGAGGCAATTTTTAATGGTCATTCGAATGGCAAACTTTCATCCTCAAGTGTACATAAAGCTCTGAGAAACAGTCTAGAGGTGCCGTACCATTCACCTAAGAATCAGTGGTGTCCTATGCTGATTCAGTGAAAGCCAAAACAATGCAAGGTACTGCCTACTAACAGTTTAAGTTATTTCAAGATTTGAGGTACAATTCAACAAAATCTTTACTTCACACTTCTTGGAGAGACAGAGGGACAGCAAATATTTTTTTTTTAAATTCCCCAAACCATGAAATACTAAATGTGTACTAGGGTGGAAGTGTGTGTAGTTTTGCAAATCAACATAAAAGATCTAAGGTGTGATTAGCAAAGCCTCGTCCCCGCCTTGTATACCTGCGCGATCGTCAAGCTCGGAGAGTTTCGAATCTCTCTCGAGCACCTTCTCCACGTTGGTTCTCATCATGTCCACCACCTATACTTGGCAAGAGGGCACAGTGTTCAGGGGAAAAACACACATACACTCACCAAATTATAACGTATAACGGAAAGATATGCTGTGGCGTACATACGAATACATATGTACCCTACATACTTGTATACGCTCCTGGTTTGCATTGATAGGGTTCAGTATAATATATTGTGGAAAATAAGAAGAGTAAATAGGGAAGAAGAGTGTGAAAAAGACACAAATGAGAGCATATACAACGTGTGGCAAGAAACACCACTACAGTATACAGTATTAATAAATGTTAAAGCACAGCAAGAACAAACTTAATACATGAATTAGAACAGCTAGAAGAGAATTACAAAAAAGCCAAAATTATATTACACTACATCACTATATACTGAAAATACTGTCAAGTGCAATCTTGGATCTTCTTCAAGAAAGGTTAACAATGTACTGTATTGTATCTTAAATGTCAAAATATTTGAACATTACTACAAATCAAAGTAAAAGTCCAAAATTCCATTTAACATCTTATGAGTATAAATACTAACTCTACAATTAGGTTCTGTTTAAAACACTGCAGACTAGAATAATTATTATACAAGTGATATTATGTAGAAATGTATTAAAATTCATGATCAGCTGGACTTGTATTTCTCGACTCTGCATTATAGTATGTACACACAACACTAAATATAAGCACAGCTCCCTGAAACATCCTTCTAGAACTGTTTTTGGCTACATTATATTTATGGATGACTTGATATTCTTTATCAATTTTGAAGCCAAAGTTCTATTGAACCTTTATCAATCCTTTATGATTCACACCAGTGTAATCCACAATAATTAAACTATTAGCTTAGAGACAACACAAATGGTTACTGTAATAACTCTCTCCAGTATCATATCAAAACAAGAAATAAATAACTGATACAACTATACAGGGTTTTTCTCATTAAAATTAATCATATAAAATACTTTACACACCCAATTTTTTGCATAATGAAGGATTAAAAATATAAAGTTTTGTCTTTAATTTTAAACTAAGGTTCTTGCACAATATGGTGGGCAGGTGGTAGTATATGCAGAGTTAAAACTACGACTGACAGTAGACGACCTAAGGATTCCAGGTACAGTATTTTCTGCCCTTGTGTGTGTGTGTGTGTGTGTGTGTGTGTGTGTGTGTGTGTGTGTGTGTATCTATCTATCTATCTATCTATCTATCTCTATCTAGATATATAAATATATATATACACAGCTAGACCCCGACTTCGACTGCTTCGACTTACGACCGCCGCAGTTGTGACTTTTTTTTTCAAATGACACACGCATTTTCTATACCGAAACGTTTCCAGTTAATGTAGTCTCCATGTATAATTAGAAAATTATGGGGGCCCCGTGTGCATTCAGCTGACTACATTAAAGGCAAGTGCTCAGTCACACTGTATCCATTCATCATTATTTATTACTTTCACTGTACTGTATTTCATTGTAGATTTTTTATTAAATTTATATTTTTTATTTTTATTTTTTTATATATGTCGGACTTACAACCTGGATTTGGTCTAAATATAATCAGGGTCTAGCTGTATATATATATATATATATATATATATATATATATATATATATATATATATATATATATATATATATATATATATATATATATATATATATATATATATATATATATATATATATATATATATATATATATATATATATATATATATATATATATATATATATATATATATATATATATATATATATATATATATATATATATATATATATATATATATATATATATATATAAAAGTTATCAAGGCCCAAACAATGTAGAAAAATAACAATTGTGGGACCAGTTTAAGTTACTAGGCAAATAAATATGACCAGTTAAAAGTATTAAAAGGTTTGAGAGATCATTAGCCACTGTAAGCTGCCATACCTATACATGTAAGAATACACTACCTACAGCTAGTAGGCTGCTATCAAACAGGGAGGTACTACCGCCCGGGAAGATATTGGAAGCATAATGTATTGTCTAATGGTAGACTCTGCTGCCATTTGGCATCACGAAAATTGTGACCAAATCCCAGGTTGCTGATCTGACTTTATGCCTCATTTACACACAATTGCATGGTCTCAATTGTTTCTCTTACTTTGACAACACAACTTATATCTATCGTTTATCACAATTTTTTTTTTAATCTTGCATTTATTTATGGTTCTTTGTTATTATTATTATATTTTTTGTATTTGTATTTTATTATCATTATTATTATTATATATCTTCGCCCCCCCAGGCCCTGATGTGGGTCATTGACCTGTGCATGGGTGGGCTAGTCCCCTTAAAAAAAAAAAGGCTGAGGTGATGCAAGAAACTACTCAACACTAAGCTTTCCCACTGAAGATGCTCATTTGAGGATTTGGACAAATTTACGCCAAGCTAACGAACCTAACACTGTCTTCCCCTTATTAAGGATGACACCTCTTGGTGGAACAACAATTTTTAAGTGACAGAATGGCCCTCACCTTGGAATCATATCAAAATTACACTGGCTATACAGCGACTTTCATTTTGTACTGCAGTCCCTTCAGGAGATAAAATTAATCATGTGCCAAGAGTAAATTTTGCTAGAAGACAAATTTCAGGTACAGCTGATATACAGGTCCATATTTCCATACTGTACTTCTATTGTGAGGAACTATCGATAAGTTAGTCTGCAGCATATAAACTTTACCAAAGTGGTTGACTCTGAAAGACAAGGAACAACATTTGGACACAATGAGCCGAGGTGTAAACAATGCCCTGATTATGGGTACCTGCACGGTCATCCAGCTCGGAAAGTTTCTGATCCCTTTCCAGGACCTTTTCCACGTTTGTCCGCATGATGTCGACAACCTAGAGTCCACAAAAATCCGCCACACACGGTAACAATGAGAAGGAAGGGGGATGAAGAAGGGAGAAGCCAAATCAATAAAAAATAAAAAATCACACATAAACCTGACATGTAAACTTATGATGAAAACCACATACCAACATTAACTAATAAGACTGTACAAAAAACGTAGAAGTGGAGAATATGGGGGTTAAAAGGAAGCACAGTAGACAAGACAGATTAATGGTAGTTAGTAAGAGGTGAGGGTTACTTATTTAAATACTGTAATAGACTTCATAAACAGCTTCCTGGAAAAGTGAACAAGAATAGTTAGTTCAACTCAGCACTGAACAAGGTTTTTAGAACAATTCAGCACTTTAAGAACTGAATAAGGATTATCTTTTCAAATCAACAATCTTGGAAATATAGATCAAACGAGAACTCAAAATCAGCTTCCACTTTCTGCCATATGTCAGATTAAGTGCTTCAAATCTTAAACAAACATGATACTGTACAGTACTGTACTTGGATTTTACAAGAAGCTGACAATAAGAGTTTAAATTTTATATTTTTTACACTTGAACTTATTAAGACCTGAAACCAGATTATCCACATTTTGCCTATAATTTTTTTTTTTGCTCATTACCATTGTCAAACTAACCTTTAATAAATTATCATACCCACTTCCAAACAAATGAGCATTTCACTGTTACTCTCATATATCTCTCTTTCACTTTACAAACTATTTTTTTTTTTAATTTCACAGAATTTACTCAATCGATAGTGCCAACAATCATGGAATATTAAACTCAAACACATTTTCAGTTTAAAAGAATTACAGTACATGTACAGTAGAAGATTGTCGGCACTGATATCAAACACATTTCCTTGTAGCTGGCAAAAGAAGGCAGCAAGGAGACTTACTGTATCAGATACTGTACTGTACAATCCTCACTCCAATTGTTAAATTCAAAATGTAATGAACAGGCTTACTGGAAAGTAGAGGTTTTTATTAATTCTATTTTACACAGATTAAGAAAGTATTTACAACAGAAAGCATATTTTAGTTTTCAACAATGTGGACAACCGGTGGTCTTATTACCTACAGTATACTATGAGTACAGTACAGTACATTATATACACATGAAAATTTGTATTGTATTGTATTTTCATGTGTACACTAATAAAAATGAAAAACAATATCCATGATTTCAGATTTGAAAAGAAACACATGACATATTAGTGGGAGCAGCTTCTTCTAAAGCCCAAGTGCCACTGTCCCTCACAGTCAACCTAATACACCATCTCAAACCTATGGGGAACATACCGGTAACTGTGCCACCAACAAAACCTAAAACCACACCCTCAAAGCTAAAATCCATTCAGTTTAGCAATACTTTTGAACTATACATAACAGAAAATGTAGAGATAGCATTATTATGATGGTTAGTATGCAGCCTGCCTGTAAAACACAAGGTTAGTTAAAGCAGAGTTGAAGCTTAAGCCACATTATCTCCCTCAAGCTGGCAGGCAGGTGAACCAAAGCTGGCCAAGATCTTTGGATTCTCACCTGCTCGGTCATCTAGCTCTGATATTCTCTGATCACGTTCCAAAACTCTCTCCACGTTGACTCTCATTATTCCAACAACCTGTTTTACCAAACAAAATGCAAGCAGTGCAATAATAAAAAATAACTTTGTAATGCAAACTGTTTCAAATGAACTGAAACTACCAAGCATATATGGTATACGGTACAGTTAATTTATATATGTACTGGGGAGTATATATTACTTTTTATTAAGAATTATTAACAGGCCATCCAATTTGAAAATTTCCTTAAAACTTTCTTTTTTGGGGGTTTGAGTATAAAAAAAAGCCATTTCCCCAATCAATATTATGACATCCTGCAACATTTTGCTTTCAGGTAATCTTCATGTCTTGTTATCGAGTTTTACTGTACAGTATACTGTTATCAAAACTATCTTTAATTTTTTTTAATGTTATCATTTACCTCACTGGAACTCAAAGGTTGTCAGTATGTCTTATAATTTTAACTCTGATGCAAGTACAGCACCACCTTTTTAAGGTCAACATTCTCACTAAACATTACCTTCCATATTCTCCCTTTAGATTAATTCTTACATTCACCATTAGAATTACCTATCATATTTTCCCTTTACACTACTTTCTGTATTCTCCTATCAGTTTGCTTTCCACGCTTTTTTTTAATTAAATCAATAAAAACACATGAAAACTTTAAGGAGTATACTGCCCAATACTGAGTGTGTTCCTGTTTAACCTACGAAGTCTACAACTTATTTTCTTCATATAACAATCAAATGACATTCTGGGGACAGCAATACCTATACTCCATAATACTTGGTCTCATTTCCCCTCATCCCTCTCAAGACATATTTTGATATTAAAAATGGTAGTAATTTCAAGTATATTGAAGAAATTTAGTATGAAGGGCTTGCATTAACAAAACAAACATATGAAGCACAAATCAAAAAAGAAATAAAAATATTTACAAGTTCAAAAGATATGTGATGCATCAGGAGAATGAGAAACTGTAGGAACTGACAAGCTTTGTGAGGAGCTCTTCCACTTACTGCATATTGATTATACTGTATCCCTCATCACTGTTTGCCAGTAATGCTTCTCTACAATCAACATTGTAAAATTAAATTGAAAAGACAAGGAACTAATTACTTCTGCAAGGTCCAAAATCTTCACACGTTTCAATCAACTTCTTCATAATTATGTAAAATACTAAATTCTGTACAGTTCATATTTTATTTCAAGCTTCAGTTGCAAGACCAAAAATTTAGTTCCATTACAATTTACTTAAAAGCTATAAAATATCACAAACTGCAAAATTGTTGCATTTTATATATACAGTAATCTTAATAAAAACATACACTGAGTAAAACAAACCCTTCACCAGTGCAACAAACACACTCGTTTAATACAAAAATGCTAGAACTCAGCCCCGTCACTTCCCTCAGCATGCTCCTTCTGGCCTACCTGCACGGGCCTCAAGTTCTGACAGTTTCCCATCTCTGATCATCACGAGTTCCACGTTCTTACGCATTACCGAGGTTACCTGCTCCACCACAAGAAATTGGGTCAAGTTTACTCCTTATGATAAAGACTCAGTGGCACTTGGAAATATAGTTCCTATAAGCAAACCTCTGTGGCTATTGAAAATGAAAAGGATTTCTCAAAAGATTTTCTGACAACAGTATATTAACGATTTCTCAAAAGAATTTCTGACGACAGTATATTAAGCCAAAAAAGCTTTTATATTTATTTTGAGAACACTGGAAGATTGATCCTGACCTCACATTGACCAAACCTGGACAAAGCAACTATTAACATTCCACCAAGGCCATGGGGGTTGAAGCCCAGAGACTAAATCAATGATTAGTTAAGCTTTTCCATTACGGGGTATACCATACATGTACAGTACAGTCCAGTACTGAAAAAAAAACTGCCACTTACGACTTAAAAGAGAAATTAGTCATGAGGCCAACCCTGCAGATGGCAAGCCACATATCACTTCAAACTAATGTATGTCATAAGCTGTGATTGCAGGACTAACTCACCGAGTTCCAGCCAACATCAAAATTACCCTTAAGGCAAAGGTATGGACCCGAGTCACTTTATTCAGGGTCACTCATAAAATAGCATTTAAAGTTCGATCCTCCATTTATGACCAAATGCCTGGCAAAAAGACTTATAAACTTAAGTCAGCTGGAGGCAACATAAAAAAAAAAAAGCTATTGTGTTAATGTGACAAACACAACCCTGATTACTGGACCACCTGAGTAACACCATGAATCTTGGAAAAAAAATTCAAATCCAAAAAAATATCTTGCATATCTTGTAGGCCATTATTATTATTATTATTATTGTGGAATTATGCGGCAATGGCCATATGGTCCCCCCAACCTGCATCACAACAACACAACCATGCTGCACTCTGTCTATGTGTGGCTATAACTAAAGAGTACATACAGGTCTGTTCTCTCGTGACATATAAATAACACACATTGTGAGAACAATGCCCATACAAGTACATTTGGGTAAGGCCTCAAAGAGCAGAAAGCGCTTTACCGTGAGGGATAAACTTGAAGTGCTAGCCATGGTCAACAATAATTGTTCTGTTCCCGAGATATTGCAGAAATTTTTAAATCTGATTTTACCGAAAGCATATTGTAAGAGTGGATCCCCTTCATCTCCACTGAAAGTGGGTCCCATATACACCAGCATAATTTTCACATTACACATTTTACCACATGCGGTACTATTAAGATGGCTACACATGTTCCCAATGATTCATGTAATGAAACTGTAAAAGTTGAGGAGAAATCATTTAAGTACTCTGTGACTTTGAAATAAAGGAAATATAATAAAAACTATAAAAAAGTAAAAGAAAAATAAAGAGCACGAGTGTGAACAGTGTTTTGTGTGGGAGATGAACGTATGCATGGATACACGATGCTCTCCCCAATGTGATGTCACGGCAAACACAGCATAACAGCCATGCATTTCTCAAGTCAGCTGGCTGGATGAACTCGTCCACTCTTGGTGTTACCCACATGATGGTTGAAGGACGGAGCGGAAGTACAGTACAGTAGCTAATTTTTTTTTTTTTTTAATATTTGCGGTGTTGCTTTTATTGTTTATTACAGCAATTTTGGCTCAGAATAACTAAGGATTGGAAACTATTCCTTTTAATCATTGCTAAATCTACCTAGGACAGTGTTTCTCAAACTGGTCACGGCAAGATTTTAGGAGGGTCATGGCAGGCTAGTGTAAGTAGTACTGTATATGTTTGAAGAAAATGTGGAAACTCTGATTCAACTTTCTTTTTTTGTTACTTTGCCTTGTTAGGTGCAGCAGCTAGTTTATCATTTTCAACGGATTCGCTCAGATTGCACGATTCTGGTTCCTGCTCAGACGAATTCCTTGATCTCGGAACGATTCTGCTGCCAGAGACCTCTATGAAGAAAAATCTCCGACTGTATTCTGGTGCTCAATGTATCAGTCATATCCAAAAATTAGTGAGATCGCACTTAGAGTCCTCTTGCCATTTTCTACTACTTATTAATGTGAATCTGGTTTTTCCACCCTTCTTCAAATAGAGAATAAAAGCCGAAACCAGTTACGTGTGGATAAGATGTGCTTTATCAGTGACTCCACCTTGAATCAGTCAACTGACTGAAAGGAAACAATGTCATCCATCCCATTGAACTGTAACAAAATATGCACTCTATTTGATGATTGAAAACATTAAAATAAAGGAAGAGAACCAAAACAGTTTATTTTCGTCATTATTTGTGAGGGGCTTGGGAGAGAACTGAAGAGGGGTCACAAGGATGTTGAGAGTTCCTCATGGGGGGAATGAAGTGAAAAAGTTTGAGAAACACTGACCTAGGACAACAAAAGTGTATTTCAAGAACATATTCACTTCATTGCCAGAGGTATACTGTACACATCCACATCATCCTCTTTATCAGAACTCGGGAACCGTCAGAAATCTTTGTGGCTTTGAAAGCTTCTTGAATCTTACCCACAACTATTAATACTTGAAATGAGGTGTCCCGCATCATAAGGTGCATTCAAACCATCCGGTCAAAACCCATTTTTTGATGGAAGGCATTATTTTCGGCTTAGCTCTATTAGATGGTAGTTGATAAGGTCTCCTTACTACACTGTAAATAAGGTTGAAAGCCCATTGAAAATAGGGTAGAACATCGATTTATGGCAGACAGGAAATTATGGGCTTGGCTTTCGCGTCGTAAGGTGCTCTCATCCTGTTCAGCGAGTGGAGCGGGCGGCCAATCACAGCGGGCGGCCTACAGCCTCCTCCCGTCTTGGCCAATGACAGTGAGCATCTGCTATCTATGTCACAGCCTCTTCAGCAAGCGGGACTTACACTCTGATATCGATTAAGTCAAAAATGCCATAAGCGGGTGTGAGTTTTGTTGCTTCAAGTTAACATTGCAACAACCCAGTACATTACTTCATGATGCACTACCTACCATCTGCAAGTACAGTCCTTTAGCTTTGAAATGCATCTAAAATGAATGCTGTATCTAAAATAACAGCAAAGTTGTGCATGTTTGAAGTTGAAAAACTTTAAACGCGATTTCCTCGGTTTAAAATTTTGGCGTGAATAACTCATACGATGAGGGGTACCTCAAATAAAAACTGAATTTACTCAAGTTTATCATAAGTACAGAATGATAATTTTCCTTGAACTAATTTATTATGAGTTTAAAGACAATCTAAGTTAATGTAATATGGTGGCTGTTGTTTTGAACAGCTGTGCCTCTGCTAATATGGACGACTGAATAACAGAATCCGTCTGATTAAAGACATCACTGTAGCTTAATTTATCCAGTACGTGTACTCTGGGTTTTTTTTACTGTATACAGTATACAATATACATTTTGTTACTAACAAAAAAAAAAAAAAAAAATCTTCCCATCAAGCTTAGTTCTCATGTTCCTGAGGAAGCAGAGAGGAATTAAGAGTTACTTTAAGTTTACAGGCAATAATCACAGAGCCGGAGACCAAACTCCCTTGGTCACTGACCCATCCAATGAGCAAAAAACTTTTCCTTGATTTGAGGAATCATCTATATGTAAAACATCACTCTGGAAGCATGCAAAGGAAAATCCAAAGACAACAGTATTTTGTTCCTCCAGCACTTTAATGCCACTTAGAAGCTTTTAAAGTAAAGCTATAAGTTTGTCTCTTGACCTTTGACTTTGAAACCTAGTTTTTCATAACCGCCAATTTCAGGAAAAGCCTAACAGTACCTAGCTCCACTGTTGGAGCAGCAAAAACTGCCTTGCCCATTACCTTTTTTAACTACCCGTAAGAAACTCAACAAAGTATCTGTCCCAATCTCTGATGTACTGTATCTCTAACAATAACTTTTCACACATAATTCCTAAGAATCTCCACATCCTTAAAAGAAGACTAGTATCCCTCAAAGCCATTGTCCAAAATCAGAACTTCCTGTTATTCTATTTTATATTACACCAGCAAATTCCTTTTAAAAACCCACAATGGGACCCCATGTGGCTGGTATAATACTGTACTATCACATGAAACTCATGAAATCTGGTTCTTCTTTGACTCAAACTGGATGTGTCAACCCCAAAACTCTGACACACCGGTGGTTCTCAAACTTAAGTAATTAGCAAATGTTACCACTCTTGGAAAATTACATAAATACAGATACTGTACTGTATGGGCGCAAAACATACCTGTGATAATACTATGAACGAAATTGGTCAAATGGGAACAAAGTGCCCAAAATCAAGTTTAATGCACTTAGCTATCTACAGAGAGATCAAGTTAAGAGACTTGCATCTGCTCAGAATGAAACTGGAACTGAATGGGTCAGTCCTGTAATCACAGATTATAGTGGAGTCTGAATGGAACAAGTGGACTGCACACTGCTGGTGTGGCATCACAACTTGTTACCCTTCAGCCTAAGTCACAACTCTAACTACTATGACACAATAATGAATGTATTTGTCCCAGCCACCAATGTTTAAGAGTTTTCAGGGCTTCACACCATAAAATTGGTGGGATACTACAAGTCACTTAGAACAGACATTTGACAATAAACAAATACTTGAAAAAATAACATACTGTATATAACAAAGAAATCCTTTTCACATACAATGAACCCCAGTAAACATGTACTGTATACACGAAAGTATATATATATATAATATTATATATAATATTATATATATATATATATATATATATATATATATATATATATATATATATATATATATATATATATATATATATATATATATATATATATATATATATACACACACACACACACACACACACAAGGCCAGTCACTGCAAACTAGCAATTACACTTAAACAATTTAAGAATTAATTTCTCAAGTTATATTCCAAACCAAAACACTGCAGTTGACAGTAACTGACCTTACCAAACAATGAGAGAATCCAGATTAGTTCAAGGAAAAGATGACAATACTTAGAGAGACATTGTAGGTTAAAAAATTATCATATGTGCCGAAGCCATTGATGTCATAATTGCAACGGTTCCAAACAAAGATTACTTTGGGGAACATTCTCATCTAGCTACACGACTAAGGTTTACCTCACAGTAATCAATTCTTTATAGTACAGTATTTCTCTACACTTTGAAGCTTGCCTTAAAATATTTGGCAGACACATATACAAATCAAAGACTTTCCCATGGTATACTTCTACTCCCATAAATATTAAGCATAGTTTAAATTTAAGCTTCAAGTCTGGAGTTTGACATCTGATCTCAGTTATATCAATTCCCACAGTGTAAAATTAAAGATTAACTTACCATTCTTGAATCCTCTTTACATGCTACATGTACTATGTCACTGGATAAGCCAAAAAAGTCACACAATTTCCCATAAAGCACATTTGGCAGAGCAACAACTTATCCAAACTACATTCTTTTCTTTCTACCATATGGTCACTTTATCCTATACCCTCACACTGTACTTTAATTCCTCAATAATAAAAAAAGTATGAAAATTTTTAGTAGCACGCACCTTAATACCTTAATCATGAAATCATCAGTACATACTGTATCTTATAACTTCATGTCATAATTCCTTAATAATACCAAAAGAATCAAACATCCATACATTTACATTATTCATCCATCCTAATCAGGTTTCACAGACTGGGCAGAGTAAAAACCATTTCTAGCCGATTCTGTAATCTTGATTTCTAAACTTTCTAAAAATAAAATTTCAGATTTCAAAGCAAAACTTCTATCAAGTGTCCATGAATTAAAGATTTATCAAGTTTTATCTCCCAAGTTTACCAAATTACTGCTAGCAACCTTCTTCCACAATATCCAAGCAAGAAACTTTATCATCATACTTTTTTGTATTACAGTACTGTTATTATATTAGGTACTTCTAATACCTGTAATATCAATGCAATTCATACAGTATTAGCAAATATTGCCATGGTCTTTTCTTCCCAGGCCAGCCTCACCTGACTGACTACAACCAAGGTAATTTTAAAAATTAATAAAACCCCAAAAGCCTTGTATGCCACTTTATTATTCATACTGATTTACTTAACAAATCATATCAACTGTACTTATTTCCCTCTCCAAAACCCGATTTTTCTTAACCTTTTTATCGGACATTTATACTGTACTAGATGCAGTATACAATATTACCTGGTTCACTCCTTAACTCTCCAAACCTTACACTCAGAGAGTTTCATCTTCTACACACTCAACATAACTTCTTACTTTAAGGCTTATCATCATAGGCTCACCCAGAAAACTGACTTAGGGAGCAACAACTCTGGTAAGCCCTTTTCCTCCCACAACTAAGTGCTAATCTCATACCTCATCAACTTGTGCTTGTGTCTGTTGCATTCGTTTCTGTGCTGCGATCTGCTGTGGTCCGCGGGGTCCCCCCACAATCTCGCCATTCTCTCCTGTGGGGGGATCGCCTCCAGGGGCAGCACCCCCTGCCGCTGCCGCACCACCCTCGGCTGACCTGTGAACCATAACATTCATTAGTTGCCCATTTAACAATTTGTTCTGATAGAAGAACTGATGGATGAGAGATGCAAGAGATGTGATACAGTACTCATACATGAAATCTTCAGTTATCTTAAATACTGATGGAAGTTAGCAGATATAATAGTTTATAAAACCCCAAAGAATTACATGTACAATCTGCCACAAAGGTCCGGTAACCTTCCCAAGGCTGCCTAAACCTAAACAATTTTGATCCCGAGTGTCGTACCAGTACTGTAATGTATTGCACTATGTAGTCATACCAGGCTTTGCACCTGCCAATGACATCTTTTGTTTTCATGTTTAAGTTGTATACCCAGGGAGTGCCTTTTGTGGCTAACCTTACACAATATTAAGGCTCCTGTAATTCAAAATCTCGTACCCAGAGGGCGGACACTCGGCCGTAGTTTGAGGGTTCGGTTTAGGATTCATAATATTACAGCTAGTTACTGGACCTTTGTGGGCGACTGTTCATAGATCGGTTTAATAATGAAGACTAGTGCATACTGTATATAAAACTGGTAAGAACATCATTAATACCGGGTGAAATTTGTGCAGTACAGCATAACACATTTAATATAATAATAAACTAAACAAGCATTTATTATAAAAAACACTAGACTGTCTTCAAGTTTAAATAAATTGGACAAAAAATTCATGCAACTGACTCACACTCCATTCAATAAATTGTCGAAAAAAATTCCATATAAACAAAATAAACAGTACAGTATCTTAAACCTGTACTATTTTGTACAGTATAATACTGTACTCTGAATACGTATGTCTGCCTTGTTAACCACCTACAATACAGTACAGGTATTCAGATATTCTGTACAGTAACACTAATATGGCAAATGATGGGCTGTCACTGATGCCATTGGAAAAATAAATTTAACCTAAGAGAGAAAACTTGTAACACCAACATTTAACAGTAAAGGTGCATGGAGAACAAAATATTAAGGCAAATGTTAAGTCTTGTGTACATTTGAAGTTTAAAATTTTCACCTTTAAAAATTACAAAAATAATTTTTAAAAGGTTTTGTATGAAATACACCTATCAGTACGTGTGGAATATACAGTATACAGTACAGTAGTATTGGGTTTTCAATTACAGTACTGTAAGCTGAAATACAAACAACAAAGTATAGTACAGTACTGTATTATTACTGTACAGTATTAATATCTAAGTACAGTATTGTACTGTAATATATTCAACACTGAATTCCTTTTTTAGTAAAATACTGTACGTAATTTTTCAGTAGGGTCTTAAAAATTCTTTCAATAAACAATCTCCTTTGCATTTAATTTTGCTAGAGATTTAAAATGAAGACAAACTTGAAAAGGAAACGAATGCTTTGGTAATTTTTTTCCGTTACATCTGTATCTACTATACCAAACACCACACCGACTCTTAACATGATAATCCCCAAACCACATCCTTCTTTGAATATAACTGTACTGCACAGTACAGGTACTTGGGAACCATAAAATATCTGTACACTCGCACCAAAAAGTATCAGTGTAGGGCGAGATCGACGACTTCCGAAACGATGCGTATACACTGTGATATGTCGGGAAGGTTGGTAAGTATATCCTCATACCCCCCCTAGGTGTTGCCTTATGGCTGACAATCAGTGTGTTTGTTTCCTCTTTTCGGTTTGTTGCTTTGTGTCGCCTGAATGATGTGCGAGGGTTCGGTCTTGGTGAACGTGGGTATAAAACAGAAGCAATATGAAGCAGTAGAGATCTACACATGCCAGACGACATGGAAACCTCAGAGGGAACACGAGGAGCTATTATTGCCCTTCATAACGAAGTGTTCGGCGTCACAGATATTAGCCGGCGGGTTGGTGTCCACAGGAACACCGCTGCACGATGGATTCGGCGATACCTCGAAACTGGTGCTACAGACAACAGGTCTCAGAGCAGCCGTCCACGCTGCACCACCCCTCAGGACGACCAGGTTGAGTGGTTTATTTGGTAGCATAAATTAATGTGGCAATATTCACAAGTTTCACAAATAATTTTGTTAACAGGGAGCTCCTCATATTTCATACTGTCTATTTATCACTTCCCGACCTTATTTATAACGGTTTGTTTCACTTGACCAGGGCTGCCAACATACGGCTGGAACAACTCGCCTTTCCCAAAACCAATCGTCACTGGTCTCAAATTGTTCACACTACAGTATACACCGATACTTTTTGTTGAGAGCGTACTGTACATCTACAGTACAGTATTTGCCAAATTTTATTGCAATTGGTTGCCTACACTACTATTTCATATGAAAAAACAATTTATATATATACCGTATACGTATATATATATATATTAATACAGTTCAGTATCAAGAGGTTTGTAATGCTGAAAAAAGTATTCACCTCATTGACGAAAGTGTGAAATTTATATACTGCACTGTGCCAAGGTAATTCATGTACTGCACAGTATTCTTCTTTCATACATTTTTCAATTTATTACATACTGCATTGAGGACCAAAAAGAATCTGCAAATTTATATACACTTAGATATTAGATTAAATCCATAAAAAAATTCCATTGCAAGTTAAATACTATACAGTACATGCTTGTAGTACTGTACTTAAAACTGCACAAAGTCATCCAGACTTGCACATAAAGATTTTTCAGATTTAAAAGCAGTAGTCCAGTACTGAAAGAGACAGTACACAACATAATCATACAGTACACTAACCATGTTACAGTACATGCACAGAATAAATACCTGTAGTGGCATTTCTCATCATTATAACTTAAATACTGTACTGCACTAATGAAAGTAAATCAGTACTGAACCGAAAGAAGACACATCAGTCGGTCATAATATATTCACTCAGTTGTAGATCACAAGCTGTAGGACAATATAACCCATATCATCCTGCCACATTACTGTAAGTACAGCACACATCTTTTATACACAATTCTGTACAGCAAAGCAAATAAGAACAAAGCCCTAAAACCACTGTCATCAAATATCTTGTTGGTACTTGGATAGTCATGGATGCCATGTCACCTTTGAAAACCTTATGACAGTTATTGCCTTACTACACAAATTTGGAAGATTATTTTACTGAGTGGGTCAACAAATCGATTATACAGTATCAAAATTAAAGGTAATAAAAATACAGTCTGTCACCTTGGTGTTCCTTTAAAATACCCTTCAGAATGAAAGCTATAAGCACCCGAGTGACACAACACAGTGTTTCACTCTTAAGCTCCTACCGGGCATATGCATTGTGATCAGACTTGCGCATACAGTACCTACAGTATTTCATTTCCTTTGAGAATCGGCCATTATAAATAATACTTTAGTACTGTACGGTACAAAAACTTCCTTACTGTGCATGCGCATAGGGTGTGATCACCTCGAGTTATTTTCAATAACGGTGGACATACTGCCTGTAGCAAATGCCGGTATTCTTATTACTGTACAGTAATACCATTTTGCCCCGAGTTATCACCCAAACATGAATGAAAAGTTTTACTGTAAATGGTTCATTTAGTTTAGGTATACAGTACTGTACTGTACTGTATCCTGGTGCAAAATTTTACATAAACACAAAAAAGTCAACAGCTTCTGCCACCGGTGTTGCTAATGAACCATTATTATTCCAGTGAGCTCTTGAGAAGACACTCCATCAGCCCAGTGTTTTATGAGGACCATTCAATTATCATATCAAGTAGAGTTTTCCTTTGTGGACAAGCTTAAACATATTAACATACAGGATTATCTCAACCACTAACATATTTACCTTCTGCCTCAACATTCATGAGTTTGATTCTCAAATCTGGTTAAGATACCTACACAGTATCAGGAGCCTATAAGCTTCACTAACACTGATTTCATAACATATCAATACACAAACATTTCCTAAATATATTGTCCGTGTAGTGTACAAGGATACAGTAGTCAACAAATTGTCGGCACCTATATGGTGTTATACAATATGCCACACTGGACAACACTCTCGAGTTATCACGTACATTGGTAGCACAACTTTCTAGAGTGCAGAATTTTTTTTTGTTGACTACAGGTACATCATCCCTACACTGAATACAGTACATCAAACTATGATTACATATTAAATGCCTGTACAGAAAACAACTCTACTCAAAACTCACACACCGGATGAATCAAAATGGAAAATAAAACACTGTAAAACTAATGAAAATATCAATACAAAACTGAACTGGGGAATATTGGAAGCCCTCCTTTTCTAAACCTCATTACTGTACTGTACTGCCAAACTCCTCAAAATACTTTACTTGAACTGTTATACTGTGCAGGTAACAGATCCTAGAAGTTACACACATTATTTTCTCCCCTATAGATGAAAGATTAACCATTCTTGTTATAATCAATTATAAAAATAATTTTGACCTCCGTGGACCGCTTTCGTACCTTAAGTTAGTAAGTTTACTGTTATGTCTGTTCTTGAATCCTCGGCTATAAGAAACATTAATATAGAAATATTTGTACAGTAATTCTAGGTTCCAAGGCAATAATTAACTAACACTCTGTATTACTTATGTGATGAGACAATAAAATATTGATATGTACTGTACAGTATAACCTGTCACCAAGGTAGACGAAACTCATCAATCCACCACTTCAAATCTCTTAACTCTTGAAATGGCCAAACATTCACCAAGGCTATGTTTATTTATCATTCCCTTATATTTAGCACGAAACAAATTAATGAACTATGTGCAGTACTAACTAGATGAACTAACTCAACAAAACTTGCCATTCCAAATTCCAAGAACAAAACTCCTTTAAGTTCTGTATATATAACCAATAGATATTATTATTCACCAAGTACATACTGTGCTGCACACTTTACAGTAATTATGTAAAGAGCAACAATACCAGTACAATACTGTACTCTGTAACTACTGTACTACCCTGTATACAAGATAACACTACTGGTACTTGTATCAAACAGGCAAGACCAATAAACA